TGGGTCCGAGCTGAATTTTGCCCTACTTTGCAAAATTAATGATTATTCGGCCAGGGATGACTCCCTGTGAATGAATGATATTCCATTGCAAAGAGGAGTAATTTGGCTTTTTGGAAAAATGAATTAAAAGGATGCAATCAGCATTGGTTTTATGTTTTCGTCCAATATTGCATCGGGCTCCGTACACTGACTTTTGCAATGTTTATAATTTGCCCGAAGCTAATTTTGGCCCACTTTGCAAATGAAATGATTACTCACCCAACCATGGCCAAATATCAATGAATGATATATCATTGTTAAGAGGAGACACGTGGCTTTATGGTGCATTGAATGAAATCAAAGCTGTTATCACTGGTTTTGTGCTTTTCCAAGATAACAATCTGTTGCGTTTTTCCTTGATACGCACTGTATAAATCTGAAACTGGTGTTAAAGTAAATATGGTCTCATTTGGATTTAGGCCTGTTGGCCCGATATTTTCAGAACCACAGTACGAAGTCCGACCATATTTAGACTGGACAAAACATACTTTTACCCGAGTACTTATTCCTTCAGTCATATCAAATCGCTGGCAAAGTTAGGATCAAACATATACATAGAACTCGTACTCTTTTAGACATGTCTGCGTTGAATATACATACGTTTCTGATATTTCCTCAAGTCTCCCTCCCGAAGCCATCCTAATGATGTGTTATTACGCTGACTTTTTGAAAAACCTGAAATATCGAAAATAGCAATATAGGCATGTAATATAACATAGCCGGTTTTTCCGGAGAAACCTTCCATTTTAAAAACATCAACATATTTAACATTCGTTATTACGTGTCATGACTAAAACCATACACATTTTAACGGCATACCACTTGCTACAAGCAAATGTGAATGCGTGTATGAAATGAATTGATGGCGTTCAACGAGTCTGAATTTAATTCATGTGTACCAAATGACGCGATTGCGCGTTGCATTCAAGAAGAATGATATAAACGTTTTTGCATTAAACGATTGATGTTTTTCATATCATTATATCGCATAAATAACCTTGGTATTAAAACAACAAAATATTTATGAAATTCAAGGCCTGTCAATAAGAGTTTGTATTTTATCATGACGATTTATCATATTAGATTCATTATGAATCAAAGAAATAATTGCTTTTGAGAGTTTTTAAAGATCTAATAGCAAAGGTTTTGCAAAAATAAATCAATGTAGTATAAAACAAATGTATGTATAATGAAGAAATAAATATATAATGAAAAAAATAGATATCTGTTTGTAATATTGGTATAAACTTAAGATTAAAAAGTGTCACTATCTCTTTCACTTTTCAACAAATATAAGCTCACGTGACATGTGACGCGGGGCAGGCAATTTTGATCTATCGTAGACCATATCAGTATCAAATTGGTGATATTTCAACCTCGTCTTGCGAGGCCATTTGATTTGAAACATCTTGAATTTGGTGTCAAAATGAAGCTGGTCACGCCCACTTTCAGAGTTATCAATGAATCATTTACTACGACTACTATATTCATTTAGGACGCGTGTAAAGTTAACCAATCAGAAAGACAATTGTTCCATATATGGCAGTTCATTAACATATTCAGTGTTTACTACTGCTTTTCGCGTCATGACAACACGAGTAGTAACCAATCAAGATGCCGTATTTTATCACGTGAGTTCAGAGTGACACGCACGCGACATGTTGTCTGAGGTGATCGCGATGTTGAACAATTTCTTCTCGGAATTTGTCCAGAGAAATAAGCGATTCTAAATTAAGGTAGGATCTGCCATTTTTTCCTGTACAAGTTATAACTTATCTCTATTGAATCCTAAAGTTTTGGAAGAAGATATGAAGCGTAGGTTTAAAAACGAAGCGATTTATTTGACGATCTGATTTTGCAATTTGCAATGGCCAATTTACTGCAAGTCCAGTGCATGTATTTGACAAGAGATAGCGCCAAGTCTTGTATCTAAATGCTTGTTAAGCCACTCAAAAACAAGATCCATATTTTCTAAATTTGATAACTTTGCAGCGAAACCTGTTTTCATAATCTGTTTTCCGCGTCTAGATTCAAACTGAGTATGATAATAGGATCGCTGGAATCTTCAGTCAATGGCAACGGGTCTTCATTCCAGAACTCACATTTTTAGTTGATTCTCCGTCATAGTTCTTGTCTAAAGTCCCCATATCTGCTCTCTTACTGCCATACTTGCACACATTTCCCCTCCTTAAATTGTCTTCACTCAAATTACACCCTCTCGCCGATTTATATAGCCATTTCCCAGAACCCGGGAATCAGAATCGCTGATGTTTGCCATATTGAACATATTATCATGTACTGTAATATCTGTACATTGCCTGCTACGCGTAATGGTCACGTGACTAGCGCGATACAGGAAAAATGGGGAATTTCGGAACAACAATTTTTGGGCACTTTTATTGCAAATTTCAGGTATTTATAAAGTGTTTGTGGTATAAAATATAATCCACAGACATAAATGAACCTCCAAACTACATATTTCATTAAGTTTTGGAGCCTTTTTTGCTCTTAAATTAACATCTTTAATATGAGCATGGGCTTTCAACTAGAAGGGTATGCAACTCTATGTAATAACACGAGACCTTCAAAATGAGCAATGACATGCTTCCCTTTTATGGCAATATTTCAAAAAGTATGAGATAAATGTATATGTTTTAGTATTATTTTGAATAAAAATCAATTTTTTAATATGATTTAAGCATAAAATATATTCAATATCATATAAAAGTAAACAAAAGAGACCAATAAGAATAAGGGTTATCAAGATGTTCTCTTGAGTATTGCATTGTGGGTAATTATTCAAGAACACATTCCAATAAAAACATAATTTGTGGGAGAATGTTCACTTTCTGTATTGTCATAATTATGATGAATTCCAATTTTTATTAAATTATCAAGATGTATGTAGAAGATCATGTTTTTATTTTTGAGTTATTTCTTTTAATCATCAATTAAAAGTACAAAATAAGATTTTCTTGGAATGTGTACATTCTCCAATTTTGAAAACCCATGGCAATGTTTATGTATGAAATATGGGAAGTTGCCTACCCTTCTAGTTGAAAGCCCATGATATGAGTATGTGTATAATTGACTTCACGGTTGGATTTCGTCATGCGACTCTTGCTATTTATGCTACGATCACGTTGTAAGATGCCGTGAATTATGTTTATTTAGATTAACAATGTCGAAGTTTGCATATATGCTAAGTATTGCTCGTTTTGTTATCGAAAAATTACAAAACGAACAGCATACGATATTGCATTCACGAACAGAAGTGGGAGTTTTCTTATGTATGGATGTGCAAGTCAGCTGTTTAAATATGACATGACTGGTCACGTGACGGTAATTATTTTATCTTTGAGGTAGTGTTGGGATTCCCCCATACCTCAAAATGAGTCATCACGGAATGCAGTTCATCGATTTGTGTTATGAACCTCCCCGCAGCATAAACCAACCAGATAAACATGAATGTCAATGTGACCGATTCAAGTCTCAACCTTATTGCTTGTATTTTACAATATTTGTTCAACTCAAACTGCTGTAAGAAAATGAATTAGTCATTTAAGTCACTCTTTCAGATATCTCTAGTATACAAAGCAACAAGGAAGTAAATATCGAGATTTATTATTTTTATTGAGTATTTACCCTCTACCAATTTTTTTAATTTGAATATGACTATACTACAGTATTTAATAAAAATGGAAATATATCTCCCAATAGGTTCTATACATTAATACTTGCATTTATTAGATAATTATAGCATATGCATTGATTGTTTTAACTAAAAAGTGGTTGTATTACTTACCAGTAATATTCACTTAACAGCGAGTTCCCCGAAGTCATTATTAATACAGACATAACTAGATGTTTGAATTTTCAGCACTACATTTTTCGCCTCTGGTATATCTGTATATGGCTACGTATAGTATCTGGAATTGCCTAACTTAAGCCATCCTTCCCTTTAATTTTATGACTCTAATCAATTAACATTGAATACTCCAGATAAATGATGCAATCTCTACAGAAAACATATCACATGATGAAATAGTCGCTTTCACGTAAACTGTTTTTTAAGCGGTGTGCTAAAAATAGGAATTCTGGCACTTAGATAAAGGAGGATAGGCTCCCATGATCCCTCGTAATATTTCGTCGGAGGATTTCTGTGAGGTTTAACATTGCATTATAACCATTCCTGTCATCAGATCTATGTACTTTATATCCGTAGATACAGTTCTCCTACTCAGAGATATTAGTTTTGTAATTTCTTCTTAGACTTATCGAGCAGTTACACGAAAATCGATGTTAGAAGATATGAAACGAACAAATTATGTCAGGATCCGCCATCTTTAAAAGTTTGATCTCTCAAGGTCAGGTTGTTTCATGTGACGCAACAGTTCTTTTTACATTCACCACACAAAGTTCGAGAGAATTGCAAATACTAATGACTTATGAGATATATACTGACTAATTAACACCCGTTCTGTTTACTGAATGAAAAGATTTAAATCAAACAATACATATATATCTTTGGAAATATATGGTATTTGAGTAGGCATACGGACTGTATATCTGCATTTCAAATAAAAATGATAAAAATACACGGTGACACAAAAGTTGCCCTCTATTTTCTGAATAACCTTTTCAAATATAATTGAATCTTTCTGATTTTTATGTTATCTATAAAGCTGTAAAGTGTTCAAGTGAAAAAACAGTGGTTAATATTGCATCTATAATTTTGAAAAAAGTTATCACGTTTTCCGTCAAGGTAAGCTCTCCCGTGAAATCGTCCAAGATGCAAATCAGGAAATTGTAAAATTTTCACCCTGTATATAATTATCTCGTAATTTTAATTAATATGACATTGTGGAATTAGATGAACAGAATTCTTAAAGTGGAGAACATATCGTGGTTCTTTATTACTTTATATTAAAATCAATTTACATTGTAACGGGGTATTAATGTTAGGACTCTGGAGCCTCACAAGAACAAACATCGGGGTCACCATTAAATACCAACTGTACACCGTTCATATCTTCTGGACACGTCGAGAATCTGTCTGAGGGTCCATCTGGTCCGTCAGCAATTATGTATCGTGTAGGTTCACCATCTACATTCTACAATGGTTTAATTGATGAGAGAAGCAGATCTAGTGAGTAGGCTAAATTTCAGAAAAATTGTGGTTCACATCATGCCTTGTCATGTTTATTTTCTAAAAAGTATCCTTTAAGGATTATCTAAAGATTTTCACAAAATTTGTTTATGTTTTTATTATTTCGGAGAATCTTAACACTAAATTACAACATCCAATTTTGCACTTTGAAATGTGAATCCTTAAGAACTTCAGCGATTCATTATATATCGTTGATTTTTGGAGATTTTGTTTAGAGATCATACAAGAAATAGCTTCATAGGCCAATTCATTATTTTACAAGTTGCATGCAACTTCGTCACCTCATATCAAGGGTTTCACACGATGATGGAACTACCACTGGTATGGTACTTGCAAATTGCATTTGCATATCGTATTTACATCATATATCGGATAACTTACATCGTAGTATATACCAGCCCTACAGCAAGCAGCTGCGCTATTTTCGTCACATGGTGGGTCGGTCATTTCAACCCCACAAATTGCGTCAGAACACTCTATGACGTTATCAGTGGTGTCACATGTCTTGTTGACGTCATTCCAGACGCTTGGAGGCATACATTTTACAACATCGTACCCGGTCCTATGGTATCAGTATAAAAGTAAGCATAATATATGTTCTGGACAGGATTCCCGAAAGCAAAGTAATGTAAACTATTCCCCTAAATGGCAGGAATAAGTTTAATATGTTTAGTTTATACCCGATATTTACTCTGCACGCTTATTGGCTAATTCTTGGTCACATGCATATGATATGAATAAAACTAATTTTCAGGCTCCTGATTTTACTGATCACAGGAAAGATGCTCATTTCAACAGACAACAAATATTGCAGCCCGAGACGATTCAAAATGATGAAACAGACGATTTAATCGACAATATAAAATCATCAAGAAAATTTGTCAAGAGTAACAGGATCTTAAGAGGTTCTGGACAAATCATTTGATTCTGGACTTGTCATATTTTTTCAACGAAATCACATCCAAGGGTTGAATTTTTATTAGCTATTTAGAGAGTGAGTCCTGCCTAGTATTAATTTCAATAAAAAAGTTAAAATAGAACCCTATTTGAGAGTCAATCTAATACTTACATTACATTGATAAATTAAGGCAAATCCTGAAATATTTTTAAAGTGCATTTTTTATGAAATATTATCCAGCAAGTATTTAAATGAAACGGTCTTATTTAAATACAAATCATAACATGATATTTTTCATGAAACATTTTTCAATGAAATTCAATTGAAGGGTCAAGATAAAACGAGCTAATTTAGGTGAAAACCCTTACATTATGATGTGTTTTCATAACTTCTTTTATAAAATTCCATCAAGGGGTGAAGATAAAATGATCGAATTTAAGTGATTTAAGGATCAGGAGAATATGTTTTCTTTGATATTTTCTATGAAATCCCATCCAATGGTCAAGGTAAAATTTTGATTTTGATTTGGTCACGTGTTCGAAAGATCCATATAAGGCCCATAGAACCATATAGGAACGTCATTTTCAATGTCACGTTATAGATCCATATAAGGCTTTTAGAACCATTCATGGAAAGATGAGGGGAAGCCCCTGACACCTGTTTCACGATTTTTATGCACTTCATTATTGTACCGAAGTTTGCCGATTCGATTCGTCGTATTTCGGAATCCTGGTGACAATTTTATACTCCATTGGAGTATTTTTGACCTACTTCTTATGACGGAAATTCCCGAACCTTGTTCGGATTAATCCGGATTTTCTGACCTACCTTATCTACCGAGATTTCACGAGTTAACATTCGTCTCATTCCGGAATCCTGGTGACAATTTTATACTCCATTGGAGTATTTTTGATCTACTTTTTCTGGATTTTGCCCTACTTATTATATCTTGACAACAAGCAAATCAAAAAGTTCGACATGAACGGGTCTCGATCAACTAACCTAGACTATGGAAGCCATGCACGCTAACCATTAGGCCAACGAGCTACCGATATGAAAGAACAAAAGTATTATATATTTATACCGAGCGTCAATTCAAAATGATCCTCACTTTTGTCTCCACTTAAATACGACTCGTCAGTTGTATCCAGAATAGTAGAACGCCTATGGCGCTAGTGAATAACCAAGTCCCAGGTGAGTGGTTCGTATCCCTCCGTGATATACTATTTTTGTTTTATTAAATACGACAGAAAGGAGCAAGGTGTAGGTTGAAAACAAGACGTTAGTTTGTTTCAAAACAGTTTGGAAACATTAATCTCTGATAATTTAAGGTTTTCCACTCCTGAAGGGCCTCTAGATCTATGAAATTCAATAATCCACTCAGTAAAAATACGATTTCTCTGCAACCTGATGTCCAATCAAGATCATTCAAATATATATGTGTTCCTGACACATTTGGGCGTCCGGGAATAAAATTGCTTGTGAAAACTATTTACAAAAGTGTTCCAGAGACCCTTATCTACTTGGCTAAGGTTTTATTTGAAGATACATTGCCTTATTAGCAGGTAGAGGGGCATACAGAACACACAAGCAAATGCTATGTTGAAAATTTTCTATATTTCAATTTGAACCTGTGTTTACATGTCACGTAGGCCAGTGTTTTATATGGGGATTATATGTACTTTCCTTGTTTACATGAACGTAAATCATTACATGAAATCTGCATTCTTCTGGGTTTAATCTGGGTTTGTATTGTCTTATTGGGGCTTTTCGACTTTAAAACAAACCCTACCTAAATGGATAAGGTCTCGGGAACGTTTTTGTAAATAGTTATTATAAACAATTCTGAAAGAATATCACATATTTTTGTCTTCCCGATTTCAGTCATGAATTACGTCAATTTCTCGTGCAAACATTGGGTAGACGTTGTCATAACCGGATGCCCGAACGTGTCAGGAACATATAGATACTCGAATGATGTTGATTGAACATCAGGGTTGAGAGAAATCGTAATTTTACTGAGTGGCTTCACGAAAAAATAAGCAGCACTTTAGGCCACCTAAATACAACTCGTCAGTTGTATCCAGTTGGAATCCCAGTGTAATGTTTTTAATTATATGGTTGTGCTTTGATTTTACGCTGAAAACATTTATAACTACGTCAACTTTATATTAAAACATTTATTATCTTTTCAGTTGTATTAAAATGTAAAATATGATATATGTCAGCTTATTGCTTTCTGGAGAACAGTCAAGGTTTAAATTTGGTACAATGAATCGGACACTCATGTAAATCGACATGGTTATAACATTGAACTCAATGCAGTAAATTAGTTATTTCTATGAATCACAGCGGGATTGGTTTCATTTTATATGATTGCCAACTCTGGATTTTTTTGTAAATGCTTTTGACCGCTGTAAATGTGAAACTGATACAGTATTATTCAATTGTTTTATGTCTTGGTCACATTTGCTCCGATTTTCACTACGGCGGCCGGCCGATTGAGTATTGTGTTCAGAAATGTATTCAATTTTGAACAAAATACTCGCAGCAAATATGATCCAAGCATTACACAGCGGTATTTCGAACATACTATTGTTGCTTAACCACGACCTAGCCAATTTTAAAATCATACTCCTTATTTAAATCCAAGTAAACGATCAATGTCTAGGTATTTGGCGTTTGATGATACTATGGCCCTTGGCGAATTATGATTAGATGAACCGAGGTCAAAATTAATGTTTCTTGTACAAGGTCATCCCAAGGTCTAAGATAAATATTTAGGTATTTTACGTTTCAAGACCTTTGGACAAATTCGATTCAACGATGTATTAAAGTTAAAATGTATACAGAGATAAAATAGGTTATCTCCTATCGTTTCCTTGTGTATACGTTTATGTCTCTGCGTAATAACGCAGATGCGAGCAGGTAGTTACCAATCTCACCACAAGGTGGCTCGTTCGGGTCAGATAGCATGACGGGTATGGTAGAAAGTTCCCTTTAACTTAAAGTACATCTGTTTTCGTGGTTCAATTTTCATATCACCCTTAAAATGTATCTAATAGCAATGCAATTAAAATATGTCCAGTGAACGAAAATGCAATACAATAGATATTTCACTTTTTGTGATTTTGTAACAATGGGGTTATTTTTTGTATATGTAACATGGTCATTTTCACATTTTATATTATTACTGTTCATATTAATCAATCCCTATTCATCTCAATATAACAGGTCCCTAAGTAGGTTGTTTGCAGTTTTACTCTTTTAATACCATGTTCACTTTTCACCTTGAGTTATTCAACTATGCAAACTGTGTCAGTTTTATATATCTATTGATCCCCTATATCACACTACCCTACCACGTGACCACGTTTAAAAGGGAAACAGGGTACAGCTAAGTTGCAAATGGAGGACGTGGGTTTAATTCCATATTTCTGAACGTAAAATACATTTTACATTTATTTTTAGTGTTCTACCAGACATAGAATTAATTCATCAAGCAGTTTGTAGAATATTGTTGGCAAAAAACCACTATAGGCAAAGATAGATAATAGTGGGCGCAGTGAAGCAAAACTTAATGCAATACACGATACATTTCAGTAAATCTGTCAACGTACAGGGAGCATGTAAGTTTCCCTTCGAAAATGTTACATTGATATGTAACAAAACCCCAGTAAACTGTTATTTAAACTGCTTGTCATCGTGTTATATGTGGATACGTTTTCCAGTATGTTATTCAACTGTACTTTTGTGAATTAATTGTTTTTATAAAATCTTAAGATGCAAAATAGTCGTCCCAGAAATGTATCTTTACTTTGCCGTTAGGCATAACATATTGTGAAACATTTTTCCTCTTGTCACAAGGAGGATGATGTTTGTATCGAGGTGTCTTGTGTTGAGCGTTTCATGATTAAATGCAAAATCACTGGATCAGATACCATCCAAAAACATGTGACATTCAACACGTCATATAAGACTACATCGATCTGGTATTAGTTTTTTTTACAATAATAGAGAAATACGACGTCATATCACCTCCACAGCAAATCGTGAAGAACAAAATGTCGTGGCATGATGGTATTTTGAACAAACTATTTTAAATGATCGGTTTTTGAGGACGGTAGTGAATTAGACCATTCAAGGGGTTATATAGAAAGATTCTTTACATGTAGTTCACGCAATTTTAATTATTGTGAATAGCGGATAGTCATTAATCCTAATAGCCAATAGTCAATCATCACTTAAGTTTTTATATTTAATTTCGTTATTTTATTTCAATTTATACCCTAGTAACACGTATAATCTAGCGTTCTTGTTAATTTAATGACTAAAATGCATTTACGACCTGAAAGCCCGTGTCTAAATCTTCTAAATAATGTTTACTTTATTTGGATTAAATAACAATTGATGACACCTCGAAGCATCAACAGGCGGCCTTTTTAGTATTATTTCACTGTTTGCAACGTAAATATACATGAGATCTGGACATAGTATGTCTGTATAATCAGCTTACTTTCTCGCTCCCTGTACTATTGAACAATTTACATTCCTTGTACCCTGTATTGATCAACTTTTGCAGCTGTGTACCGTGTACTATGACATATCAAATATTTTAAAATTTAAAACGATATTATTTACATTATTTCTTCAACTATCATATAACTTGGAACATGGACTTCACTATTGCACCACTGAAGTTCAGCGAATAGCAATATTGACTCACTCCGAGCACCAAACGTATTAACCTTTTCACTAAGCAGTCGATATACTCAAAAGCGACCTGATTGAAAGCCCAAAAATTCGCGCATGCGCTATCGAGGTAGGGTAGTGTGCTATATGGTCTTTCTCACTCACATGTAGCTGAGTTTGCATTGGATGTTGGCTTGTCAGTAGTTGCTGTAAGAGTTCATGTTGTACATTACAGAGCATTGTATTTTAAACATTGACGTTTGAAATATACTATTTTATATATATTTTAATTTGAAGTTCGAGTTATTTTATTGCCACCCACGGGCCTTCCACACGCCCATTTACATATAACGCTTTGAAACAACTTTAAAAAGTGAGCAATGTCAGTGTTGTGATAATAGAGAATTTTCGTTATAAGTTGTTTCAAAAGCTTATACGTATACTTATAGTTTAAAGGGTCTTGTCGAACTAAAATCAATTCAAATTGATTTTCATAATCTGTACCAAGTGGGGCATAACTATTCCCGATATAGTCAAGCTTCATCATCAACTAGGGACTGCGAATACAATGTCCTTTGCTAGTGTCAATTATGAACACGATAAACTAAATTCTAGTTGACGGGTCCTTGTAGTGTACGATAAACAAGACCCTTTAAAGTGAATCACTACACGAACGAGTCGATCATTTCAAAGTTCTCATGAAATTATAAGGTCAATTTTTAAGTTTTTACGTATAAAAGGGCCTTTATACGCAGATTATAAACTTACAGAGTTGGATCTCCGCATAGTATATGTGTGGACCTACTGACCAGAATGGCTTATTAAAATTAATCGGCTGAATAGGCATAGTATCCAATCAAATAGCTCGACTCATTCATTAGCTGAACTAATTCTCCCTTCGTTATTTCTACAAGGTGATTCAAAACGATCATCTACAAAAAATATATTTGAGAGTAGATAAATCTGTAAAACCCGTGTGCTATATCAGCCTATTTGATTCTAGAAAACACATATGACACAACTAAACATGCTTTACATCAAGGGGGTACGGATGGTATGCCATTGGCCCTTTTTATTACCGTCCTAGGAGATATTTCCCGACGAATTAGGAAATTATGAAACACCTTGTTTATTGGGTTTATAAGTATAAGTATACGTATAAGTTTTTAAAAAACTTATAACGAAAATTCTCTAATAACGCCCCTCATACCTATTTATTACAGGTCGTGTAGACCATTGTTGCCTGATTTATAGCAAAAACATTGACTTTTGCACGTTGATGATGATGATGATGATGATGCGCCTTTTATAATAGATCTCATATCTTAGAAGCGTATCAGTTCAAAAAATACTAGAAGACCTTACATATTTTGCCATGCACTGCACCTATTCATTTGGCAATTCAGTTGTAAATTTTATCTTGAAAAAAATAAATCTTCCAAATTTGTTGAGTTTTCTTGCAGAAATCGCCTACCCCCCCCCCCCTCCATCCATTTTGTATGATCACAAGGCGTGATTTAAGCTGCTGATATTCTTCTTTAAACGAGTCGGATTTTCAAAATCTATAAGTTGGACTCCCTTTATAGAAGCTTTGAACTGAATTTGCACTGCTTAATGCTGAAATTTTATTGTTTATCCATACATTTTAAGAAAAAATGTATAAAAAAAGATGTTAAAGCCAAATGTTGCCCTAAAAATTCAGAAAATGTAAAAAATTTCGAATTTTCTATGTACAGGCCTTGTTGCCCCTTTAAGAAGCTTAATATGTAAATTATCTAATCAAACACTTCGTCCACCATTTAGAAACACTAATCAATCCAATCTGTGCTAGCGATTCATAGGGCGAGCCAGTGGGATATTTCCAGGGTTCATACACACCTGGAAATGTCAGGGAAATTAACTTGATTTTCCAAGTGCTGGAAATGTCAGGTAATTTTAAAATTAGGTCAAAAGGGCCAACGATGACCGGGAATTTTGAAACGGTAGACATGTCAGGGAAATTTGTATCAGTGTTGAAAAAATAATGTTCCAGAGATTAATGTTTCCAAACTGTTTTGAAACAAACTAACGTCTTGTTTTCAACCTACACCTTGCTCCTTTCTGTCGTATTTAATAAAACAAAAATAGTATATCACGGAGGGATACGAACCACTCACCTGGGACTTGGTTATTCACTAGCGCCATAGGCGTTCTACTATTCTGGATACAACTGACGAGTCGTATTTAAGTGGAGACAAAAGTGAGGATCATTTTGAATTGACGCTCGGTATAAATATATAATACTTTTGTTCTTTCATATCGGTAGCTCGTTGGCCTCATGGTTAGCGTGCCTGGCTTCCATAGTCTAGGTTAGTTGATCGAGACCCGTTCATGTCGAACTGTTTGATTTGCTTGTTGTCAAGATATAATAAGTAGGGCAAAATCCAGAAAAAGTAGATCAAAAATACTCCAATGGAGTATAAAATTGTCACCAGGATTCCGGAATGAGACGAATGTTAACTCGTGAAATCTCGGTAGATAAGGTAGGTCAGAAAATCCGGATTAATCCGAACAAGGTTCGGGAATTTCCGTCATAAGAAGTAGGTCAAAAATACTCCAATGGAGTATAAAATTGTCACCAGGATTCCGAAATACGACAAATCGAAACGACAAACTTCGGTACAATAATGAAGTGCATAAAAATCGTGAAACAGGTGTCAGGGGCTTCCCTCATCTTTCCATAAATGGTTCTAAAAGCCTTATATGGATCTATCACGTGACATTCAAAATGACGTTCCTATATGGTTCTATGGGCCTTATATGGATCTTTCGAACACGTGACCAAATCAAAATCAAAATCAAAATTTCACCTTGACCATTGGATGGGATTTCATAGAAAATATCAAAGAAAACATATTCTCGTGATCCTTAAATCACTTAAATTCGATCATTTTATCTTCACCCCTTGATGGAATTTTATGAAAGAAGTTATGAAAACACATCATCATGTAAGGGTTTTCACCTAAATTAGCTCGTTTTATATTGACCCTTCAATTGAATTTCATTGAAAAATGTTTCATGAAAAATATCATGTTATGATTTGTATTTAAATAAGACCGTTTCATTTAAATACTTGCTGGATAATATTTCATTAAAAAACGCACTTTAAAAATATTTCAGGATTTGCCTTAATTTATCAATGTAATGTAAGTATTAGATTGACTCTCAAATAGGGTTCTATTTTAACTTTTTTATTGAAATTAATACTAGGCAGGACTCACTCTCTAAATAGCTAATAAAAATTCAACCCTTGGATGTGATTTCGTTTAAAAAAAAATATGACAAGTCCAGAATCAAATGATTTGTCCAGAACCTCTTAAGATCCTGTTTGAGTACAGTTAACATAAACCTGATGGTGATGCTTACTCTAACTCTCCAGAAATATTTTGGAAAGGAATGTGCAATTTAACTAATAAGTTAGTGACTGACGAATGGGAAAATATCCCGTCCACTGAAATAAGGGTTAACCAAAAGCTTTGAAATGAAAACCAAGCGGAAAAACTCTTGTTTAACCCTATTTTAACCAATTAATATTATTTTCGATATGCTCATAATCAATCATAAATTTCTACTGCTGGTTGAGGTCTAATTAACCAATGCTCCTTTGAGAAAATTTGGATTTCAGCCAGGTTATATCAACTTAACATGGGGATATCACTATATCCCTATGTTAGCATCATTTGGATATCAACAGGAGATTTAAGCCAATGTGAGGTCATTCTAAAATGTCGGTTACCTCTTAGTGTTCCTAAAGCCACGTTTTCATAGCCTCTACATTACCTGTTAGACCAGCATTGAAGGAAAGAGCAGCAGGGGTCCTCTGGGTTGCTGAAGTAGAAACTGGTGGTATCGGCACATTCTGTGTCTTGTACATCTAAAGACAATGATACCATGATCATATGTAATTCCTTATTACATATACACGTACAGGTACTTGTAATGTCAGGCCAATTATATGTTTCAACTTAATTCTTAGTGATTGTTCTCAAGAAAAGGAAGCGTTGAAAGAGGAACTTAATATAATACATTGTAATAAGGATACACTTTAATTTCGAAACTGTGCTTGTTACAAAGTTGTTCACATGCCATTTGAAATAGGATGGGGGTTGTCGAGTTGGCCGAGAGGTTGCGAGTTCGAGACGCGGTGTGCTCCGTGCGTTTATTCATTTTAACTTGTGCCAAAATCATTGCATTGGCCAATTTGATCATCCTGTGTCTGTGTATGATTTTCTAAAATTTTTACATAATCACAGTGGTGATGAAACGACCAAATGAAGATTGGGGGTTGTAAAGGTGAAAATAAAAATTATACTTACACACAAACTCGCAACAACATGTCTCTACTCTGAATATTTGTCCTAAGGGGCACTTCTGGATGGGACCATCGTCGACCTAGATATTGAAAAAACACAGATTTCTTATCGAAGGGTCTTTTTCAAAAAACATTCCGCCATATTTGACATGTTTTAAATGCGTCATTGACTCGGTAAGGTGGCCTCTTTAAATTCTCTCAACAGATTTCTTCGATCTCCTCAAAGTGCCTTTGACACGTAATTTATTGTTCACACTCATCCTTATAGTTACTAGAGACCTCCATCGTGGGATTAAACTTTAAATGATCCTCTGCAGAGAAGACTTACTGAGTACTCATTCTCGGCATCACCACTAGTGAATATTGGGAGAAAACCAGGTTCACCTCTGTTAACATTCTGTCCAACGCAACACGTTGTTGCTGAAACAATCAATTTACAACCACGTGTTGTAACAGTACGTGAGTCAGGTGATTATATTTTTCAGCAAATTTGTCTGTTTATCATATTAGTCACAAAGTAGAAGAAATGAAATTGAATTCAATTTTTAAAAATTCAATTTTTTAAAGACCCCCAGCGAACTTCCGCCCAGAGTACTATTTTACACGGGGATATTTCATATATCTCTTACATTAAAATTGATTTATAAAATAAATATTCTTATTATTTCCATGTCATGATACTCGTTCTCTCATTGGTCAATTAGATACCATGTGACTAAAAATATATAGAGGTATTCCATGTCTCCCTGCATAGAAAACGTGTGAGGGCTGCGGTGAATACACCTTCAAAAATATAGATACAGATATTCAACTCCACAGAATTCAATATTTGTATAATATTTTGGAGGAGTGGGGCGTACTAAACTTATGTTCATAATTTAGTATGTAGATGTCCGTTCAAGTGCGGTTGTGAGGTGTCATGAATGTTTAAAGAAACATACCTGTTGGCTGAGGGGATGGACACAATCCAGTTGTCCTTGATGGCACTATAAAATATAATAACAATGTCAATTCAATAGAAGTAGGCAGCGCTTATGCATATTTTGTATGTCCTTTGTAAGGGAATGTGGTATTTTGTAGCAGCTATGTATATTTAAAATATACATCGGAAACTATTTATATGATTATAATAATTTAATGTAATATAGTATTTCTCGTCGGTCCCTCGAGATGATATCATATCATCCCTCTGGATAAACGAATATATAATATCTCCCTAGTAAGTATAACCTCAATATATACTAATACAATTCGTACAAAACATAATTAAGTCTTACCATCGCAGTCTACACTTGGGTTACAATCAGGTACGTACATTGGCTGATCACATGACTTCAGCACATTGTTCCATGCAGTACCACCCATGCATTTTCCTAAATTGTAGAGATAGAAGTGTATTATCACATAGGCCGATCTATACGATACTCACCAAGCAAACCAGTCTTTTTAAATTGTGTATTATCATATAGGCCGATCGATACAATACTCACCAAGCAAACCAGTCTTGTTAAGTGGTGTATTATCACATAGGCCGAAATATACAATACTCACCAATCAAACCAGCCTTGTTAAGTGGTGTATTATCACATAGACCGATCGATACAATACTCACCAAGCAAACCAGTCTTGTTAAATGGTGTATTATCACATAGGCAGATTGACACGATACTCACTAAGCAAACCAGTCTTGTTAAGTGGTGTATTATCACATAGGCCGAAAGATACAATACTCACCAAGCAAACCAGTCTTGTTAAATGGTGTATTATCACATAAGTCGGAAGATACAACATAAAGTAGCCGAAAAAAGATTGTTCAGTGTAGCAGTATTCCATTGTCCAAAAGATACTCACCAAGGAAACCAGTTCTGTTAAACAATACTCACCAAGGAAACCAGTTCTGTTAAGTCTCGCTGCATTGCATACAACAAAAGAGCAACAGTCTCCACCTTCAAATGAATTCCCCGATATATATCCATTACCATCGATGCATTCCTCTACAAAGAGTATACATATAATATGGTTATAGCAATTTTTCTATCTTAAATTAAACCAACTAAAGAAAAAAATTAATCACAAATTCATTTGGGACAGAGGCATTCCTTTTGCAACACATTGCTGGTTTGTTGATAAAAAATGTTGCACATTGTAACAAAAATGATCATTTCTAATGCATTGACTTAGATTTTAGTCTTGCTTTTTGTCTCTTGACCCCCCCCCCCTCCTTATATTTTTTAAGTAGTTACTTCTAGGGTCATTCAGATCATATCAGCATCAAAGTATACAAAACTGTTAATTGGACTATATATATAGTATCCCGGGTAGTCAGAGGCTTATTGACTAGATTGACTGAAGACGTTATTGCATTTGTTGAAATACATGCAGCAACTGCTAAAAACAACAAACTTTTTGCACTCTGTGATCAAAGATGGCGGCACCTATGCCTTACAAGTGCTTACAACAAGGCCTTGTGGTTTTGTGTAAGGGGCCACAATGGTTTGTAGTTAGGCTATAAAAATCCGAGAAGATTTAATCTCATTCTTAAAGACTGGTAATCGGAGGTGAGGAATAAATCAAAGCCATATAGGAGAAATATAGGTTGCAGATTTTTCAAGATCAGGGAGATATCATCTCAAGATCACACTTTACCTTGATACTAGCCAATAGGATAACTTCAACTCATACTTCATTGGATTATCAAATATTTCTCGTTTAGTTGATCATTAGTTAAATATGCTTTGAATTCCTCTAAAAGATTGTCACCTGGATGACATTACCAAAAATTGTGAAAGAATTTCCAATGTTTTTCTTTGAGAGATCAAAGCCTCATTCTGAATATAGATCACATGACTTATAAATGAGGAATCTAAATAAAATTTGAGGAGGGAGTATATTTGTCTTATGTTAATATTGTAGCCAAGTGAAGGTCTAGGTCTAATACAATGCAGCCTAGTTAAACCTTTGTAACTTCAATTAATATTTTAAAAATTCCTATATGGCTTTAAGGTGCAAACATTTACAGTCTTGAAGATGCTATGGAATGGAGATTTCCGGTTTTCATACTGAAAGGGATTTAAGCCTGGTGACAAAATCCCTAAAACATGCTCTGAAACTTACGTGGATCTGTTTCAACGGGTGGACCACTCGCAAATACCACAGAAATGAGCAATGTTAACAAAATCATGGCTGACTCTGAAATTCACCAAATAGTATATGCTGTATAATACACATAATTAGGAATGACGTCAATGCAAGCAATTATGGTTTTTAATCATTTTAACTATTTTTTAAAAGAAAATAATGACCTTTAAACATGAAGTATAAAAAACTCATTGTAAACAATAATTGACTCGAAAAATAGCCTCTAGCCGATACAAAAACATAGAAAAACTTGTATTTTTGAAGATTTACATTTTATGTTCGAACCAAAGTCAGTTTGATGGTATAATATATATTTAATCGCTTATTAAAATCTCGTATATATGCAATTGATATTCTGATATCCAGGGATCACTCTGATAACATTATAACTAATATCTTTATTTATTTTATTTTTTTTATTCATCTATACTTTACATTTATATATTCTTTACACATCTCGGCTTGACATCCTCTTGGATGTATATAGCCTTTTTATATAAATATTCAAATAGATAGCTGATGCTTTAACATTAAACATTTAATAAACAAGAAGAAGAAACAAGAGAGAAGAAGAAGAAACGTGTAATTTTGTATGAGGTTGAGTTCGAAGGAAATTGGTATTTTTTAGATGCATAAAACAATGTTCACTAGTCTAGAATTCATATAATAACTAAAATTTAACAATACAATCCACATATTCTAGAACATTTACCTGAAAATACGCTTGATTATATACAAAAGAGAATTAAAAAAATATTGCTAATCTGTGTTTTGGGTCACTCTGTTTATTGAGTTTTTCTGAGACAGTTTGTCTTTGATTATCAATCATTCATAAGTATTTTAAAATTACATTATCCAGTTTGTGATTTAACTGTGATTTAACTGTGATTTAACAAATCAAATTTGCTATAATATCAGGTCATGTTGCTGTGAAACGGATAGACACGATGCGTTGTAATAGATATCAATGCATCTCTAATATATGTATAACTTAACCGCGAGATACAATATTAACATAAATTAATGACCTGATATAAGGTCATTGTGTAGCGTATAACTAAGTAAATCTTCTGAGTCAGCTTCATTTACAGCAATTAAGTGGTTAAAATAAACTTTCATTTAAACCTTTTTATTTACTAAAAGTTTCTGAGTAATAAATGCGATAATTTGACCTATTACTATAAGCTGAATCAAAAGTGTACATACCGTCTTGTTTCTAATACAGATAGCCTCCGCTTAACTGATAATAGTGCCCCGGCTATTAAACATAATGTCTTTTGTAGTTACTTAATGTAGGCTGCTGAAAGTTACACTAATATTTTTCATTGTATATCGACCTCAATATAATTTTATTTACGGAACTTCTATTGACCTATTTTAGTTTTGTGTGGTATATATTCTTTATTCTAGTGTACATCACAGTATCATATTGGTGCGGAAAACGAATAAAAATGAAATTTGTTTGAAGATAGGGTGTTTTTTATGGGATGTATACATGTGAATCTGTACAGTTATGATCCGGGATACTAGGTTTCGCATATAAGAAGCGTTTTGTGGAATATAACATGGCGGAACGCTTATAGCTTTACATAACTGTTTGTTTTAGAAATGAATACAACGTCCATCACATCGGTTATAACGAGGAAAACAAATTACTCTTCAAAGAAAGCACTCAAAGTGTATTGTGATGTCATTTTATTATATCAGTTCATATAGATTGCAGACTAGTTTAACTAGTTTTAATACATGAGAATAAATATATAAATCATAATCATGTCTTACCTCAGGCATAGTATGCGGATGGCTATAATAAACAAGCATCATAGGCTTTACATATAGTATACATATTTCATACAGTTATGTACAGTGTCACCGATGTCATATAAAATTACACTATAAAACAGGTCTTTTCTCCTAGAGATGATAAAATAATTTCGACTTTGAGACAGGGAAGAAACAACCCACCAACATGTTTTTTATGAAATGTTTTCCTGATATTCAACCCATTCCACCTCTGCTTTTTCATTTGTCTTGCATTAATACGTTGTGTTTTGACACACAGTTAACCCCTTTAAAGTCATACGTGATTCCCTTTAGATAAAGTGAAAAACAATATTTCCCATGTTATTTTCCCATAGGGAAAACTATTGCGATCCATTGCTTTCAGTTAATTTTGGTCACCCATAATAGATATCTATAAAACCCCAAAAAGAATCACTTATTCCTTTAAAGGGGTTAACGTGTCAAAACGCAACATATTGATGCAACAAAAATTAAAAAGCAGGGGTGGAAGGAGTTTAAAACCAGAACAACATTATATAAGGCAATTTTAAATAATCGGTTCTCTTTATAAAATTGACTGTCTCTCTCTAAACAGTATCTATAGACAGGTGAAATACAATGACTGTATCCCAATAACATGATATACGGGGTTAGACACAATGACTGCCTCCCTCTTAACATTATAGACAGGTGAAATAGAATGACCGCATCCCAATAAACATGGTATACAGAGTATAATACAATGACTGCCTCCCTCTTAACATTATAGACAGGTGAAATACAATGACCGCATTCCAATAAACATGGTATACAGAGTATAACACAATGACTGCCTCCCTCTTAACATTATAGACAGGTGAAATAGAATGACCGCATCCCAATAAACATGATATACAGAGTATAACACAATGACTGCCTCCCTCTTAACATTAAAGACAGGTGAAATACAATGACCGCATTCCAATAAACATGGTATACAGAGTATAACACAATGACTGCCTCCCTCTTAACATTATAGACAGGTGAAATAGAATGACCGCATCCCAATAAACATGATATACAGAGTATGACACAATGACTGCCTCCCTCTTAACATTATAGACAGGTGAAATAGAATGACCGCATCACAATAAACATGGTAAACAGAGTATAACACAATGACTGCCTCTCTCTTAACATTATAGACAGGTAAAATACAATGACTGCATCCCAATAAACATGATATATAGGGTATAACACAATGACTGCCTCGCTCTTAACATTATAGACAGGTGAAATACAATGACCGCATTCCAATAAACATGGTATACAGGGTATGACACAATGACTGCCTCCCTCTTAACATTATAGACAGGTGAAATACAATGACTCCATCCCAATAAACCTGGTATATAGGGTATAGCATAATGACTGCCTCGCTCTTAACATTATAGACAGGTGAAATACAATGACCGCATTCCAATAAACATGGTATACAGAATATAACACAATGACTGCCTCGCTCTTAACATTATAGACAGGTGAAATACAATGACTGCATTCCAATAAACATGGTATACAGGGTATGACACAATGACTGTCTCCCTCTTAACATTATAGACAGGTGAAATAGAATGACCGCATCCCAATAAACATGATATACAGAGTATGACACAATGACTGCCTCCCTCTTAACATTATAGACAGGTAAAATACAATGACCGCATCCCAATAAACATGGTAAATAGGGTATAACACAATGACTGCCTCCCTCTTAACATTATAGACAGGTGAAATACAATGACCGCATTCCAATAAACATGGTATACAGGGTATGACACAATGACTGCCTCCCTCTTAACATTATAGACAGGTGAAATAGAATGACCGCATCCTAATAAACATGGTATACAGAGTATAACACAATGACTGCCTCCCTCTTAACATTATAGACAGGTGAAATACAATGACTGCATTCCAATAAACATGGTATACAGGGTATAACACAATGACTGCCTCGCTCTTAACATTATAGACAGGTGAAATAGAATGACCGCATCCCAATAAACATGATATACAGAGTATGACACAATGACTGCCTCCCTCTTAACATTATAGACAGGTGAAATAGAATGACCGCATCCCAATAAACATGGCATACAGAGTATAACACAATGACTGCCTCCCTCTTAACATTATAGACAGGTGAAATAGAATGACCGCATCCCAATAAACATGATATATAGGGTATAACACAATGACTGCCTCCCTCTTAACATTATAGACAGGTGAAATACAATGACTGCATCCCAATAAACATGGTATACAGAGTATAACACAATGACTGCCTCCCTCTTAACATTATAGACAGGTAAAATACAATGACTGCATCCCAATAAACATGATATACAGAGTATGACACAATGACTGCCTCCCTCTTAACATTATAGACAGGTGAAATAGAATGACCGCATCCCAATAAACATGGTAAACAGAGTATAACACAATGACTGCCTCCCTCTTAACATTATAGACAGGTAAAATACAATGACTGCATCCCAATAAACATGATATATAGGGTATAACACAATGACTGCCTCCCTCTTAACATTATAGACAGGTGAAATACAATGACTGCATCCCAATAAACATGATATATAGGGTATAACACAATGACTGCCTCCCTCTTAACATTATAGACAGGTGAAATACAATGACCGCATTCCAATAAACATGGTATACAGGGTAGACAGGTGAAATAGAATGACCGCATCCCAATAAACATGATATACAGAGTATGACACAATGACTGCCTCCCTCTTAACATTATAGACAGGTGAAATAGAATGACCGCATCCCAATAAACATGGTATACAGAGTATAACACAATGACTGCCTCCCTCTTAACATTATAGACAGGTAAAATACAATGACTGCATCCCAATAAACATGATATAGGGTATAAAACAATGACTGCCTCCCTCTTAACATTATAGACAGGTGAAATACAATGACTGCATCCCAATAAACATGATATATAGGGTATAACACAATGACTGCCTCCCTCTTAACATTATAGACAGGTGAAATACAATGACTGCATCCCAATAAACATGATATATAGGGTATAACACAATGACTGCCTCCCTCTTAACATTATAGACAGGTGAAATACAATGACTGCCTCCCAATAAACATGATATATAGGGTATAACACAATGATTGCCTCCCTCTTAACATTATAGACAGGTGAATACAATGACTGCATCCCAATAAACATGATATATAGGGTATAACACAATGACTGCCTCCCTCTTAACATTATAGACAGTTGAAATACAATGACTGCATCCCAATAAACATGGTATACAGGGTATGACACAATGACTGCCTCCCTCTTAACATTATAGACAGGTGAAATACAATGATCGCATTCCAATAAACATGGTATACAGGGTATGACACAATGACTGCCTCCCTCTTAACATTATAGACAGGTGAAATACAATGACTGCATCCCAATAAACCTGGTATATAGGGTATAGCATAATGACTGCCTCGCTCTTAACATTATAGACAGGTGAAATACAATGACCGCATTCCAATAAACATGGTATACAGGGTATGACACAATGACTGCCTCCCTATTAACATTATAGATAGGTGAATACAATGACTGCATCCCAATAAACATGATATATAGGGTATAACACAATGACTGCCTCCCTCTTAACATTATAGACAGGTGAAATACAATGACTGCATCCCAATAAACATGGTATACAGAGTATAACACAATGACTGCCTCCCTCTTTACATTATAGACAGGTAAAATACAATGGCCGCATCCCAATAAACATGGTAAATAGGGTATAACACAATGACTGCCTCCCTCTTAACATTATAGACAGGTGAAATACAATGACCGCATTCCAATAAACATGGTATACAGGGTATAACACAATGACTGCCTCCCTCTTAACATTATAGACAGGTAAAATACAATGACCGCATCCCAATAAACATGGTATACAGGGTATAACGCAATGACTGCCTCCCTCTTAACATTATAGACAGGTGAATACAATGACTGCATCCCAATAAACATGATATATAGGGTATAACACAATGACTGCCTCGCTCTTAACATTATAGACAGGTGAAATACAATGACCGCATCCCAATAAACATGGTATACAGGTTATAACACAATGACTGCCTCGCTCTTAACATTATAGACAGGGGAATACAATGACTGCATCCCAATAAACATGGTATACAGAGTATAACACAATGACTGCCTCCCTCTTAACATTATAGACAGGTGAAATAGAATGACCGTACCCAATAAACATGATATACAGAGTATAACACAATGACTGCCTCCCTCTTAACATTATAGACAGGTGAAATAGAATGACCGCATCCCAATAAACATGGTATACAGGGTATAACACAATGACTGCCTCCCTCTTATTATTATAGACAGGTGAATACAATGACCGCATCCCAATAAACATGGTATACAGAGTATAACACAATGACTGCCTCCCTCTTAACATTATAGACAGGTGAAATACAATGACCGCATTCCAATAAACATGGTATACAGGGTATAACACAATGACTGCCTCCCTCTTAACATTATAGACAGGTTAAATACAATGACTGCATTCCAATAAACATGGTATACAGGGTATGATACAATGACTGCCTCCCTCTTAACATTATAGACAGGTGAAATACAATGACCGCATTCCAATAAACATGATATACAGAGTATGACACAATGACTGCCTCCCTCTTATTATTATAGACAGGTGAATACAACGACCGCATCCCAATAAACATGATATATAGGGTATAACACAATGATTACCTCCCTCTAAACAGTATAGACAGGTGAAATACAATGATTGCCTCCCTCGAAACATGATGGAGGTAAATACCACATGGAACTAAATTTGCACTACCCGGTTTCAAGCAGCACAAATACTTTTACCTGGGTACATGTACGAATATGTATGTAAAGGTTTTTGTTCTCTTAGAGGATCATAGAGAGCAAATTGCAATTTCATTATATATACGAAACGGTTTTCCAAATATACTAACACATAATTGAGTTGTACTTGTAGGTGGTTGAATACACACAGGTTCGATCATATTATTAATAGCACAAGTTTCAAGGCTACCACTAAAATATCAAATGATCGAATAAAATTAGTCAAGACACGTTGTTTCAAGGGGGCATCAAGGGCAAATTTCAGTTACTATTTCGGCACTTATGGTGTTATCATGAGTATTAATCAGGGGCGTAGGAAGGTGTGCATTCAACAAGGCCAAAAAAGATGAAAAATTGTTTATATCAAAACGCCTATTTTATGCTTGCAAAACGGCATTAGTACAATAACGTCATTTCGAAGGGCAATATAGTGAAATATTGGACCGAGGGCCGAAGGCCCAAGAAATGCCCGCAAATATGACGTTATGAGTTATAAGAAAATCTTATGACCGGCAGTATTGACCGCCACTATGACGTCACATATTGCTCAGGTAGATATAGTAAAATGAATGCCTTCTAAACTAGCACTAAAACCCCTAGAACTGGCCCTGCAAGGTGGTAATAATTTATGTTATTACCTTTCTAACGTGCTTTAAATGTTCGAATGTTTTTCATCGATACAAAATCGCCTTGGAAAGTCGATCACAAGACCAAATAACCCCCCCCCCCTCAACAAAGGTAAACTTGAGGTCAACTTGATTTAGGGGGTGTATATTTTTAACATTTGTTAGTTTCCTTTCAAAATAATTGTTGGTGCCTAAATGCTATATTCCTAAAATAATTATCTATTATCTTTCAAATATATAATGAAATAAAATTAAGGTAATAGCTTTTCTAAAATTGATGTTATTTAGACCTCAAAGTTAGCAGGTACATGTATCTGAAGTCGTATAGGAATCAATAGAACGCGTGTGGAATAATCAACAATTTCAAGTTTAACTTGTTTTGTCTTTAACATTCATATTTTAAGAAGTACTACAAATAACAAATAGTGATTAAGTAAGGTAATAGATAAATGCTGACTTTTTATTATTCCAATATAATTTTGCTCCATGATTTTCCCTAGCAACCACATAGCAACGGAAAATAAATCGAATTAGAGAAATTGAAAATTCGGGGGTATGGGAGAATAAAAAACTATATGTAAAATTGGGAGAGGTTTATCATTATTTCAAGAAGTACTACAAATAACAATTGGTGATTTAGTAAGATAATATATAAATGCCGACTTTTTATTATTCCAATATAAGTTCGGTCCAAGATTTTTCCTAGCAACCACATAGCAACGGAATATAAATCGAATTAGAGAAATTAAGAAATCAGGGGTATTGGAGAATGAAAAACTATATGTAAAATTGGGAGATGTTTGTCATTATGATTCTTATATCACAGTTTACAAGCATTATGGATCATGCACAACAAAATGCAAAACTATTCATCGAGTAGTTTTTCAAAAAATGTTTTTCTCAAATTTGGAGAGAACGCGATTCGCTCATATTTGGCGGAACTGTATTTTACTTTTAAAATCCATAAGATAATCAACAGTAGCTCGATTTAAAAGCATGTTGGAAAGGGAATTCAATTTGTTAATGAAGGAGTATCTACCAAATAGAGCAATAGTTATCAATTTGCATTTTCTACATTATAACAAGGTAACTATCAATATTTTATGAATTTCATTTCTATTGGCATAAACTTCCGACTATCACAACTTTGCCCCTCTATCCCAAATAACTTTGGAGCACAAAACAGAGGCACAAAAACCTGGCAAAAAGTACTATTGAAAAATGGAGCATATCACATGGCGTCCAGAAAACATTCTTAAGTGAGCTCGAAATCACAAACAATGTATTCACAATGAAAAAATATGACTGGCAGGCGAAATGCTTGAAACGGGGGGCGAAAAGGCCGAAATGCTTGAAATGATTGAAATGAAAGAGAATGTGAAAACAGTTTAGGCGAATTGATTGAAATGCTTGAAACGGCGAAACAGGCGAAAGCAACGAAACACTAATTTGCCCCTGCTGCACATGACTACCCAAATTATTTAGAGTGAACCCCCGAGGATTCAAAGCTTTCATTTTACGATAGGCCCAGGATCATTGGATACGACTCGGCAGTCCACTCTGCTGCTTTAAGCTTTTTTATTCTCAGTTTTCAACACTACGCATTAGCATGTTGGCGTACATTGTTCCTACGCCACTGTTAATAATATATGACATGATTATAAACTGCTTTCAATTCGGATCAAAGAAAGAGTAAAAGTGCTGTGTCTGAATCAGTATTTATGCATGTAAACCGAGGAGGTCAACCCGAATAAACGATTTTCATTGGACTTCAACGAAGATGGCCGAAGATATTCGGAATTTTGCTCGGCAATCTTCGGTTCCGGTACATCGGTGCTCCCTCACTTCACGCTATCCTTGATTTTGTTACGATTTGATTCGTGTTTCTAATAATGCATTTCGTGTGAGGCAAACAGGTGTATCTGCCATAACCAATTTATGACTGCAGTAAAATAAACGTTTGAAAAATAATGGGTCAATACCAAATATGTAGATTGTGATCCTTTGAATAAAGTGTCGCGGATCACACCTTCAGCATGTTAATTTTAGTGACCTCGTTGATTCTGTTGATTTCAAAGGGAGCATATTGTCAAAATTATAGTCTCGTGTTCGAAGATAATTTTGATATTTTGGACTTCAACAACTGGGTGCACGAGGTGACCTGCTGGGGTGGTGGGGTAAGTCAATTTAAAACATTTCAATTCAATACCTTTTGGGGTACTAGCAACCATTTTAACTCACCCTGTATGTTTATTCGATTAGTGTTGGGAATCTTACGCTTTTTTCTCATGGCCAGTGTCAAAAGTTAGACTCAAATATGTGTCTCATTTCTGATATTTGAAATTCCTCATTAAAAGCAATTTTGCTCGGTTTACGAATGATCAATACAAATACTTAAATTGTTTACTTATCTCTTCATATTTCTTCATATTTGCTTCTAGAATGGCGAATTCCAAGTTTACACTGATGATACTGAAAACAGCTATGTTAAGAATGGGCTTCTCTACATTAGACCAGTAAGTATTATAGTTAATGCTCCAAGTTGATTTTTTTGTATGAGAATTAGAATGGTGGAGTCAAAACAAGCACCTGCTTAATCATACATGGATTATACATACATTAATTATACATCTAGTATGTCATACAGTGTTGTATCTGCAACATTATGACAGTTGTCTTTAAGATACTGTAGCTGTCAAATTTACCTATATACGAGGGGTGATCAGGAATTTCTGGACCGTTGGCTCTATTTTTGCCATTTTTTATCCTTTCTAAGTGATTTTTTCACACAATATAACTCAAATATATAGGATCACACCATGAAGATTTCACTGTTCTATGAAATCATTATCCTTCTATTTTTGTTACCATGGTAACCGGTGACGCGACAAGGTGGATCTCAGAAAAAATACCAAATTTGAAAAATCAACAGTAGTTTAATATGCCATTTTTTGACACTGTATTCATTGCTGAGTATGTTACAAACATACTGACATGAAATACGTTGTATTATATCATTAAGTATATTCATTAATGTTCATAGTAACTGTCATTATTCTTCTATCAATTCTAATCCTCAAAAGTAGTTACCAGCATTTTGTAAGCATTTGTTATGCCTTTTCTACCATTCCTGAAAGACGTGATATAGACCGTCTTTGCCTACAAAGTGTAATTGTTTCCATCGGCTGTGGCCGTGTACCACAGGCACAATATTCCCCAGACTTAGCTGGCTGTGATTTTTATCTATTCCCAACAGTGAAGACCAAATTATGAGGTATCAACTTTGAGGACAGTAATGAGATCATTCAGGAATTCACGCACCAATGTTACAAAGTAGGCAAAGACAGTCTGTATCACGTCTTTCAGGACTGGCTGAAAAGGCATAACAAATACTTACAAAGTACTGGTAACTACTTTGAAGGATAAGAATTGATGGGAGAATAATGACAGTTACTAATAGATGTACATTAATGAATATACTTAATGAAATAATACAACCTATATGGTATGTCACATATTCAGCAATGAATACAGTGTCCAAACATCATATAAAATTACTGTTGTTTTTCAAGTTTGGTATTTTTTCTGAGCTCCACCTTGCCGCGTCACCAGTTACCATGGTAACAAAAATAATTGGATAATGATGCCAAAGAACAATGAAATTTTCATGATGTGATCCTATATATTTGGGTTATATTATGTGAAAAAATCAGTAAGAAAGGATAAAAAATGTCAAAAATAGAGCCATCGGTCGAGAAATTCCTGATCACCCCTCGTATAGTAATGTGTTTTATATTCCTTAACAAAATATCTCATTTTAGACTCTATTGGAAAACAACATAAATCCTTTAACTGGTCAGCCGTTTGGAGTTGACTTCCTGTATGGTGGTACATTGGACTTAATAGGTACGCGATTACAAAATTACGAAAATTAAAATTCCTTACCTCTTAATTAACATAATACAAGGTGTTTCATAATGACTGTCCACCCATCCACCACTCATCTTTGTTTGATTACCTCCATATGTTATACGAGGGGTGATAAATGAGTAATGGACGCTTTTTACACAGACGTTTTTTATCTATAAAAAGTGTAATGACACGAGGGCGCCCCAGGGGAATGACTAACTGACGAGCATTATATAACAAGCCAGATAAAGAAATAGAAAGCAAGTGTGCTAAATTCAATGCCCCGCGTGGGAACCGAACCTAGGACCCTTGGATCCAAAGACTGATGCTCTACCGACTAAGCTATAAAGGCTTAAGCCAATGCAACTGGACCGTAGTAGCAACTTGCTATCAAGGGTCGTTACAAAAGTATATGTGTAAAAAAGCGTCCATTACTTATTGATCACCCCTCGTATATCATATGAAAGATATATTAGATATAAAATAATTCTAGCTATGTATGAACAATGTACACAGAAGGACAACAACGGATGCTTAAGGGAAGGCTGGTTCGGGATAACTCCTCCTGTGGCATCTGCCAGATTACGCAGCAAGAGACGATTTAACTTTCAGTTTGGAAAAGTAGAAGTCGTTGCGAAGATGCCCGTCGGTGACTGGTTATGGCCAGGTAACATAAAACATAGAACACAATAAATTATTATCGGTAACAAGTTAATACTAGAGCATTGTTAATATACTACCTATTGATTTATCAGTTCAATTATTGAACACTTCTGAAGATATTATTGTAGAAACGTTATTAGGAAGCACTACTGATGTACTTCAAAATTGCCAAGATGGTACAATTGAACAGTTCCTATTGAATAGTGCATATTACATTGATCTAATGGTGAAAACAGTTATTAAACAAACAGAAATGTAAAAACTCTAAATGTAAATCTATATGTAACCATATGTACAAATGTAAATAATCTGTTAATGTGAATTGTCTGTAATTATATGTAATGTTTAAATCTTCACCTATGTGGAGGAAATAAAGACACTGAACTGAACTGAATCTGTGCTTTCATAGAGTTATAAATAAAAAATTGCAACAATTTTAATTAAATCGCTTGGCTTGATGCATTGTGAGCCATTTAGGTTAAGAGGTTGATAAGATGAGAATAAGTAATAATATGAATAAGAAAATAACCATTCACTTATGGGAGCCTTATGGTATGTCGGGAAACAACAAAAAGTTGAACACAGATCAAAGATCCTATGTTATTCATTTAATGAGGGTTACTGATATGCGATTTTTCGAAATTCAAACACATTTTACTGTGGATAATAGAGGACGAAATAACCCACAATTCAGAGATTGTCTAAGATAAGAAATATTGATAAACACAATGCCATATGTTTGATGCAAATCGGGAGTCGGGTCTTGCTAAAATATCACGTTGCTTTCTGTTTTAGCAATATGGTTTCTTCCTGAATACTTGGTATACGGAGGATGGCCGAGGTCTGGGGAAATTGATCTTGTAGAAGCAAGAGGTGAGTCATTATTAGAATAGGTATCTGTTTGTACTTTGCTGAAATGTGACAGAACGTTCAGATCAAGGAACCATGTACGTGTGATCTCTTGGATTGAGCAATCCCTAAACATAATATATGTCATCATATTGCTATAGCCAGCTCGCGCGGTCACCGAAATACAATCTCCCAAGCAATCGCATGTTCAATTTAAAGGTACTTTCAATACCTAGAGCACTACATATACTATGCCGACGAGTTTCAGTTGGGTTACAAACTGTGTAGCATGATTTGTTTTCTTTCTATAACAAGGGAACCGAGACCTCCTAACAACTGACATGAACAGTATAGGAATAGACCACGCAGGCGCAACTTTGCATTGGGGTCCACAATGGGATGACAACAAATCATGGCTCACAAGTGGTTCACAGTAAGTAACACTTACATGGGCGTAGCCGGAGGGGGGGGGGGTGCGATGGGTAAGAACGCACCCCCTCCCCATAACCAATAAACAGAATCATTAGATGGAACACAAAAAGAGCTTTAAAATGCTTTTTATTTGAAGCTTCAAGCTCAATCTTAAAAGGAGTTTCATCATTTTTGTGAAATTCGAAACAATTCTTTAAGAAAATTTGGGCTCGCGTATGCCACGAGCTTAACTTGAATCTTAATATAATCCAATAAAAATAAGATATATTAAATGATACATGCATTCACTTTATTTCTAATATTGCGGGCACCGTACTAGGTTAGAGTTTAGTATGGATTGCCAATCCATCGGATTACAAATAATAAAATGATTACATGACAGAGATACTAAAGAAAAATGTTAAAAGAGTATTTATATATTATGTATTGGTGAAAAACATATAGAAAGAGTTAAACGTGATTCTCATTTCCGGTAAATGTAAATCGCTTTACCGAAACGGTAATGACGTTAAACTTCTTGCTTTGAACAACTTCCTTATTTTTAGGACGAATACTCAGAACAACTATGGGGATTTCTTCCATACATATGGGATGGAATGGGACACAAATGGAATGAGGTTTGTATTTATTTTATTGCTTGCAAAACACAATAATTTTAAGTTTAAAATTTACGACAAGTAAAGATAAAATACATAAAATTCAACATGCCTTTTCAAAAAATCATATGGGGTGCAAAAGTTGATAGTATGACGAAATGCGTGTATTTAAATTACTTTTTGATAAAAATCAGCACTTGGTGTAGTGAAACTCGTCGTTTAATATTTGGGAATTCATCGAAAAATATCTCATCTCTTATTTCTTTTCTCTTTGGTTTAATTGCGTGATGTCAATGTCTTGTTTAGATTTACCATAGACAATAGCACCTTACTCCAAGTGCCCAACCCTCCAATTGATCAGAACCCTGGCTGGCAAGGATTTTGGGAATACGGGCGACAAAATGGCGGATGGTGGTCAACGACAACAAATCCATGGGCATCTGGAACCAACATGGCGCCTTTTGATCAACATGTAGGTTTAAGCGATCACGAAAAATTGTATTTGTAATGAGTTTGTAAACGTCATCAAAGGTAGAGTTCTTCATATCTTCACAGGAAAGTCAATTTATTGAGAACCTCTAATAGTTTTGATTGCGAAAATGCATCCATATGTGGGATTGATCAACAGAACATTCATAAAGTTGAAAATCCGAAATATGTTGTTGATCTCTATTAATCTGTATTATCTAATTACTAATATAGTTAAAGAACAATTGAAAAGCGAAGGTTTCTGTAAATGACACCGCCAATGTTAGCTCCTGGTTCGAATGGCTTTCTTTTACATTTTAATGTTTCAATTTCAGTTCCACATGATACTGAACGTTGCAGTGGGAGGGACTAATGGATATTTCCCCGATGGTGTGATAGTCAATGGAGGTATCCATAATAAACACCCCTTATTATCTTATTACAACATAATGTTTTTCATTTAGATCCACATGATACTGAACGTTGCAGTGGGAGGGACTAATGGATATTTCCCCGATGGTGTGATAGTCAATGGAGGTATCCATAATAAACACCCCTTATTATCTTATTACAACATAATGGTTTTCATTTAAGTTCCACATGATACTGAACGTTGCAGTGGGAGGGACTAATGGATATTTCCCCGATGGTGTGATAGTCAATGGAGGTATCCATAATAAACACCCCTTATTATCTTATTACAACATAATGTTTTTCATTTAAGTTCCACATGATACTGAACGTTGCAGTGGGAGGGACTAATGGATATTTCCCCGATGGTGTGATAGTCAATGGAGGTATCCATAATAAACACCCCTTATTATCTTATTACAACATAATGTTTTTCATTTAAGTTCCACATGATACTGAACGTTGCAGTGGGAGGGACTAATGGATATTTCCCCGATGGTGTGATAGTCAATGGAGGTATCCATAATAAACACCCCTTATTATCTTATTACAACATAATGTTTTTCATTTTAGTTCCACATGATACTGAACGTTGCAGTGGGAGGGACTAATGGATATTTCCCCGATGGTGTGATAGTCAATGGAGGTATCCATAATAAACCATGGAACAATGGCGACAGTGATGCAGATGTTCGTTTTTACAATGCCGTCAACGACTGGTTCCCTACATGGGAAGGAGAAAACTCCGCCATGCAAATAGATTCCATTAAAGTTTGGCAGAGAACATTGTAACATATATGGTCTAGCTAGTAATTTTATGATAAAGATTGACTTATAAATCAAACATACAGAAAAACGTACCATAAATTGTTATGATCCAAATTTCATTTTGTTATTTTTAGTGACGTTTTATTTAAACCATTACGCTATTACTCCGTTTATTACTAATATTAGAATTCGTGTGATGGTTGCCTTGAGTTTAGGATGCGTATATAGGATGTATTGTTTAAAGTTGGAATGCATTGCAGAATACTGGTTAACAAAATACTTCTAAATGAAGAATTCGTATGTTCATCAATATTTACTGATTATATTACAGGGTAGTTCTTAAAGAATAATCAAGAAAATCCATGTTTTCAAATAAATTCCTCCTTTTCAAATGATGTGAATGAGGATATGCGGTTTGAAAGACAACAACAAGTTTAAAATTCTTACAAGTCTGAGTTGAAGCGAATAATTTGAAAGTTTTTATTTCGATTGTAATCTCCAACTCAATGAAAAGTAATGATATATGTAAATCATTTTCTTATGTAATACGTACTGCTGGATATCAGGACCGTGAACCTTAATGGAGATGCACGAAACGTGAATTGTTAATACTTGACGTCGTTCACATAGTTTGATGTGATTGACGTTTTTGGTAATCTCCAACTAATCAGCTTACTCCAACTAATATGATGGTCACGAAGTGTATTTAGATCATATCGTTTTAAAAAATCATCAATGCTCGAAACTGTTTATCATATAGTCTGGCGAGTATACCGTTTCATTTTGATTTATAATTATGGTACTGGATTTGTCTATGATTACAGACGAAAATAGAGCAATGGAAATACATGAAATCCCTTGAAAATTCGAACGATTTTTTCCCCGGTTTTTGGAGATCGAATAATAGTGGGTAGATTGATTTTTTAACGAAGTTTTACCTTACATCTCTAAAATTAAAAAATATAATGCTCACATTGAAAGGAATACGCAGTTTTTAGGCGATTCGTCGTGATAAAAGGCAATGTCTTGAAAAATCACGAGTTGACTCACTGACATTTGTAATTGTAATCTCCTACATCATTGTCGACCGATGTTCAGTCGTCATGAAAACAAGGTTAAACATCGAACATTGACCATGTTACTTTCTATTTTTAATGGATTCACTGAGGGGGGCATTATTGATATCTTAAAACTATGTGTGAGAAGGTATATAGTCAAGTAGACGGGGGGTGAATGGGAGGGTCACAGTGGCTACGTGCTAGACGATGTAATTTGATACAAAATACGGAGAACATGTATAGCCTTAGACCATACACGATATCAAATGTGCCTGTCAGGTATTAAAAGATGGACAAAATAAACAAATAAAATGCTTAAAAGTGTCTATTTTGAGCTCCGAACTGACTGTCAAACAACAGAAAAATTGACATTCCAAAGTGAAAATAGACTAGATGCGAGTCGAAAGCCTTGAATCAGACAGCAGTAAAATTAATATTTCTATATGTTCAGACTGTTCTATAATTGGATAGAAGTAACGAAAGCGGCTTTACAACCCACTCCTTGGGAGCCTTCATACAAATAATGTTACAGGACCCTCGCTCTGCACTATAGATTCACAGGTCAGATGCGACAAGGAGAATCTGCTTTTCAACTCGTTTAGGAAAGTGTTAGGACAAAACTACATAAATCGCTACGCTGTATTGAAAAGTGCTTGCTTTCGTTTAGCGGCTTCAATCCTAATTGAGGATTATGGAAAAAATCAACAACAAAAACTTTTTCCCATTTGGGAGTTAAATCATGATACTTGGCGAATCAATGTAACTTTGGATAAGCTTTAAAATGATATATGACACATACTATGAGGACACTGGAATATGTCTGCCTAAGGGGGGGGGGCATGCTTTCGGGACACCCTGTACTATAATGTTAAACATTATAGTCGTGTGCTCCAGCAGGGTTCTGGTAATGACGTCATATAGGCATCTCTCAAATTACTATATGTTAGAGTTAACTAATCAAACAATACGGGTATGCAGTATTCCACCTGTAGATTTTATTAGGTAAAATAGCAATACAAGCAAATCTTAAAGCAAATCCTAAAAAGTTATGGTTCTTTTCTCAATTAATTACACCCTTCGTATGTGATGACCTTTTCAAAGCATTTGAGTATTTAATGTTAATTGAGAACTTTTATTTCATTATATGAGTTGATGTGTTTTTGCAGGTCGTCTGCGCAAGATGACAAAAAAGGTATGTCAAGGGGTAAATGGAAATACAATATGTATAAGTGAGTGCAGTTACTGTCAACATTGAAGAAGTTCAACGGTCTACTGAAAATCGCCAGAAATAAGTGCCTCGTAGAATGGACTATGCAATAATTTAGTAGGGAATTCCAATTAGCAATTTATTTGTTTTGTTTTGGGATGGTTTTTAAATGCCTCAAAAATAGCCCAATTATTACATTTCTAAAGTGCTTAATGATTGCAGTGTGTGTATAGGTAGGGAATTTCATGAATTAAATGTAATGCAATTTATATTCTGCATTTGTTTTTTTTCTGGCTAAATGCCATTTTTTATGCAAATCTTGATTAAAAGTTCAAATGTTTTATACCGAACGTAGCCATTGTACGGAATACTAATTATTTAGGTAAGGAGTCATCAATACTTAACTCCAATATGTTCGACATTAGGGCTCAGGTATTGTCAATGATAAACGCTATCGTGAATTTCAATACTTTAAAACAATAATTGCAGACCTTAGGCCCAATGTCTTCGCCAGCAACATGCTAGACCCTAATATTCTTCCTAATGTTTCGTCGATAAACAGTTTTATGATTTATATGACCTTAGGCCTAAGGTCTCACTTATGAATGGTTCCTTATGCACCCGACCTTAAGTCTCTTCGATACATCAAATATTATTAAATGACCTTAGGCCTAAGGTGTCATTAATACATGGTTCCTTAATACACTCAACCTTAGGGCTAAGGTTTCGTCGATATACCGTTTCGTGATTTACAAGACCTTAAGCCTAAGGTCTCATCAATGATTGGTGTCCTTATACACTCGACCTTAGGCCTAAGGTCTCGTCAATTTACCGTTTCGTGATTTACATGACCTTAGGTCTAAGGTCTAATCAAAGAATGGCTTTGTAATATACCTTCAATACACTTGACATTAGGTCTAAGGTATAAATGACATATAACAGACCTTTAGGGGGGTTAGTCGAGAATGTAACTTGAGAATGTGTTATCGTTAACAGTTATGTTGTATTCCAAGAAACCTATCAATTTAGAAATGTAAAAAGATTTTTGGGTTGTCAATTACAAAAAATGACACCTGTAGAAAGCGTTCAAAAAATCATTTAGAATATGCTTTCAATACATTGTTCCCAAAGAAAGTTTTTAAGGACTATGATATATTTAGGTACTTCCATCATCTCGAACATCTTGAATACTTATTTCTATTGAGAATGGATTCGAGATGTACTCAAAATAAATGCGTTAAAATCTGAGTAACCACCCTACAAATTATTTTGAAAATTAAAGAATTTTGTTTTCGAATGTTGACGCAGTTACTGAGCCTGTCTAAGTCATTTATCATCCATTATATCCCCCCACATTAGCCCCAATTTAAGACCTCTGTATATCTTGTGCATGGCATTAGAATCAATGATACTCTTATTTTGGACAAACTTTCATGTCAATCTTTTTGAAAGAATAATGCCAATTGTTAGGTGATCCAATTATGTTTGGCCAGTTGCCCCATAACATACATTCAGCATGAGCAGGGCACTGAGCATTAGTACTATAAAAACCAAACAGATTTGCATGGTGGCAGGCATTATACCACCAAGCCCCTTTGAACTTGGCAGCACAATTTATTTGGATGTGACCATCATGATCACGATCCTTTGTACTAAATGGCATACCATTGTGGAAAGCAAGAGAGTCTCCTGCATCTCCACTATAACCCCCAATTGTCAGTCTGTAGTTATCACTTTCATCACTCACATCAAATATGGAGTATTCAGCATGACGTGTTTCACTCTGTGGTGGCCACATGGTAAGATCAACTCTGAGTTTGTAGTTTCCTTCAGTTACTAGCTTGTGAAGGTTTTCCAGGCCAATGAAATGTTCTCCCTCGGGGCTTCCGAACCCTCTCTGATATTCTACCCAGCCTTTGTAGAAGTCAAGACTCCCGTCAAAGCGTCTGGCCATGTAGACGCACCCCTCATCGCAGTACACATTGAAAGGGTCTTGTCCCTGTGGTTGGATTTTTTTAACACCAGTAAAGTTTGCGTTATCACTACAATCAATGACTGGAAAACATAATCGTGCTAAGTTATTATTTAATCTTCAAATATAAGTTTTGTTTACCTTTGAAACATTTTTCGAAAATATTGCCTTTTTAAAATTTTGTCAGATCATTAGCAGCATCATAAATGTTTATTATAATACCTCCTTTGGAAAATTTTAATGAATTTTCACTTATAGTTAGAGCTAATCTACATTTTCAAAAAAGCTTTAGTTCAGCTTTAATGTCCTGTTAAGGAAGCCCTATTCTTACAATTGATAATGGTTTCTACCAATACTCTCCAACGTGAATTTAGATATTCAGACTTGATCAACTTGAGCTCTTCTAAGAAAATGAGGATTTCAACAAGGGTGTTTTGACTTAATATGGGGATACAATTGACTGTAAACCTGCATATCATATGTAGTTATGATGATATGCATGTTTAAAGTCAATTGTATTAAGTCACATGTTAAAGCTGTAGTTACGTCACATGCTAAAGCTGTAGTTAAGTCACATGTTAAAACCGTACTAAAACTATTGTCAAAATATCGTATTGGCGTACTTCTCGCATTAACAACTTTTTTTCTTATATAAACTACAAAGCTTGTGATATTTCATCACAGAACATTATTAATTAAGACGAAACTGTTAACCTCTGAAATGTTGTTATTTTCGCGGACTTTTTGGGGTCATGTGATCATTACAGTTCTGAAATCGTCAATCCGCGAATCGTAATTGTCGACGATATTTTTGAGAAACGGACTCCAAGCTAAAAATTGTTTTCGCAAACTATACGAAAGCTGAATAAAAGTAGAAATATAATTTTTTTCACATTGGCACCTATTTAAACAACAACAAATTTTTTTTAATTGATTGACTTTTTCACAAAAAATAATAATAAAAGTATTCATTACAAATGCAACAAATTGATTAAAATACATGTGGTAGACCGTATATGGATTACTATAAGAAAACATATTAAACTTAAGCTAACCATACACGTGTCGGACACTGTCCGACTTTGTCCGTTTTGGCTGAGTTTTTCTGTCGTTGACCGAGGTTGTCTGACGGACATCATCGGACAATGTCCTGTTTTGTCCAATGATGTCCTGTTTTGTCCGAAAATGGTCATACAATCATCACGTGCGTCAATGCTTTTGAATTTGTACGGAAAAGAATTGACATGTTCATTCTTTTTACCGGAGATAAACAGACAAACTACAAAACGGAAAATCAGAATTGTCACCAAATATTTTTTACTTGGGCTACCCTTCAGTTTGGATGTATAACAACGATGATTTGATATCATTGGTAGTGTGTCATGAGACGTATTGAGATAATGTGAATATATTTATGATTTCCTTTGTTTTCAATATCACTTTAAACTCATTGAGGTCATTTGGACATATTTTGAAATATGGTTACTATGATCAATATTCAATGAATTTCATTTTTATTTGCATCAACTTCAGACTTTCATAACTTTGCCTCTCTACCCTCATCACCTTGAAACGCCCAAAATTGTCATTTATCTGTGGCTCAAGTAAGAAAATAACGAAGGCACAAAAAAACTTGCAAAAGTACTATTGAAAAATCGAGGGGGTCAATCCCCCCTCGCCTAAATTAAGGATACTACTGTCATACCAATAGAGAGGTTAAGCATGCAATGTTTTTCACAACGTAAATGTGAACAGAAAGACGAAACGTGTATTTGAAGTCAATGTTGCAAAATGCGACGCGCATAAGTTTGTACAATACTAGTTCAGCTGCAGTGTTTCGGGAAATTCGAAATTCACGTTAGTGTCAAGGGGAATCATCAGCCTCATTTCTATTTATTACTGCGCTTGCAATCTTGATTCCGATGCACAGTAGAATTCTTTATGTCCTGTATCTTTTGTTTTGTCATCCATTAAATCTAACCTAACGCCCCTCGGTATATTCCAGAGCTACTCGAAGGCAAGCGCATTTACACACTGGCTTTTTAAAAAAAGCCAGTTTGTATATTTGCCATCGACCCTTATTCGTGTGTTCATTCGCTATTCATACGTTGATTAAACCATACTTTTTGTCTGGGTGACCCAAACAACAGAAACCTCTAAAAGTGTAATAATTTCTTAAACCTAGAAGTTTCTTAGAATGGGGGTATGAGGACACCTGAATGCACTCTGTGTGTTTTTGCATAGTTTCAAAATATCTCTCAGAAGGTGCAATCATGCCTAAAGATGGCTTAAAGGTTACCGGGACACATCCTAATCAATGATCTCAACCTCTATACTTACAAAATGCAGCTTAACAAGAAGCTAAGAATTCTGTGATGGGTTTAAACAAACGATGTAAAGCCTATTGGTTGACATGAAAATCTTTCTTTTTCTTTTATTTCAAAATTTGGCACATTTTTTGATTGGCCATAACAAGAAAAATATTGAATATTATGTGACAAATTTGGTCTTACATTGTCATCCATAGAATGTTGTTTCTTCACATGAAAAAATAAAGCTGATTGCTTATGTATTAAAGAAAGTATTGCATTTTTGGAGGGTTCTGTTTTTTGGGCCACCCTGTATAAAAATATGTACAACTTTTTATGTCGGATTGTATTGTAATGTATGTACATTTATCTTACCTTGGAATATTTACTTCTTGTATCTAGGATAGATAGAAAATCAAAAAAGGAAATACCGGACAAGTAAAAGCAAATACTGCGCCAAGAATTTCTGATGAAATAATCAACTAAAGTGAAATCAAACAATTGCAAAAAAGGCATTGGGTGAATAATAAAAATAGTAAAAAATCTCACCTAGTGTCGGGTAGAAATGATCAGTGAGAACGCTTGCCACAAGTGGTTCTGAGTTCGCTCCATTTATTTCGCATACTTCAACATTACTGCCTGCAACTTGTTTCATATTGTATGATTTACAAATCCGCTCATTTGATAAACAAAGTCTAGCGCATTCCAATGCAGTGCTCTCGTTAACAGTCTTTATAACGTCTCCCTTTCTCTCAAAATTAGCAACTTTGATATATTTGTTCTGTTTAGTTTTAACTGCAGCACCAAGGCACGTACACTATGTAAAATCCCATGATTAATACAGTATCATAAACCTATTAAACATACATATCAGTTGTTTTAATTCGTTTTAACCTGTTATCATAGGTTTATGTATAAGACATAATTATAACAATGAATGATACGGACTTTTTTGGAGTTTCTCCTCTGATACTTGTATAATTTGTTTTAATTTGTTATCAGCTGTTATCAGCTGTTATATTCCATCTGGTTCAACTGGGAAAAACATATTATACTGGATGATACATTTCTCTGCTCTTGCGTATAATTTGTTTACATTAGGTTACATGTTGTTGACACAACATGTTGACACTATCTTGTTGACATAGACATATTGAGTGTTTTAATAAAAGCGGGTATTGATAAATTAAGTTTTGACATTTGAAAGTTGTAATGAATTAATATAAATGATATTTCAAAATAAGTCACCAGAAGTGATTAGTGCAGCATTGAAAGATATATTTTAGTTTTACATTTATAACGTGCTTGCAAAAACACGGGCGCCCATTAAGATTATTAGCGGTTTTATTATAATATTGGATTGCTTCAATGCGCTCCATGAAAGAAAAATGTGGGCACTTTATTAATTGAAATCAATATGTCTTAATATTAAAGCTACATTGTTAGCGGAGACAACGGAGACTGCGACATTTTAACCCATTTCAAAATTCGGTGTTTTTATTTTCCATAACGGCTACTAGTATTTGTGTGCCATAGTTATCTCAGCTTTCGTAAATCACGGTTATCGTGATTTAAGGTCAGTTATAAAAATATACAAGGCGATGGTTCAAAATGGACAATTTTCAAAACTGATCAACTTCACGTTTTTAAAGAATGCTTGCCCGGCGAGGGGTCTGCTATTGCGAGAGAACAAAAACATTGAATTAGGATTTTTCCTAATACGTAATCATTAATACTTAATACTTAATCATTAATCAACAACTTTTTAAACCGTCTCTCTGATTAAATATCATGCCAATTAATACCACGATTGTGTTGACAGGATTAAATGCGATATCTATGGAATAATAATTTAATGAACTCAATAGTCTAAATGATAAATAAGTTCATAATTTAGTCTTGGCTAACTAGGCTTGTATCATTAGAGTTGGATTGCAAATACCTCCCTAAATCAAATATTTATAATTGTTTTTATGTCTCTGATCCAACCACTAAAGTTTAAAAGGAAGACTATAGTGTCCCGTGAATTCATTATAATTATCTTAGACAATAGTGAAGCGGTACAATCGTGGGAGTGTTAATTAATCGGAATGCAAGTTTATTACAAAATAACTCATTTGGATCAAATATTTAAATTTTACTAGAGTGCGGGGAGTGGAAACGAGTCTCCATTCAAGCAAGTAAGTAATCTATGTGTATATCGGCTCCCTCCCAATGGTGGGCAAAACCAGATGCAGGCATAGACATTGACAAGGTGAGGGGATTAAAAATAAAAATAGTTTTGTTTTAGGATCTGACTGAAATATTTTGGGTCTGTTCAACGAAGCGGTTTAAGGAATTAGAGGCAGAAATAATTCCTAGATGACCTGTCTTTACTGTAATCAAGATGCTACCTAACCGCAGTTTTAAAAGTTATTTATCGTTTGTGATAATCTAATACTACTTATAGATTGGTTTTCCAAATGTAAGACCCCGTATAAGACCCTTGTCTCTGATTGTGAAACATGTGTATGCATCAAATCCGAGGAATATTACATTATGTGAAACAATTCCAAAATGTTTTGTCTTGAACTCAATGAAATAGCAATTATATATTTCAACATGTGGAAATTGTTTATTAACGTAATGTCGGGCACTATAGGTAAACGGGTTTTCAGTTTTGCTCTTTTTTGTCACACTTAAATTGTGTGCTTTATTTATTTGGAATTTGAATTTGAAAGGGTGAATTCACATCCAATAAAGCTTATAGTATCATTTATTAACAGATGCATCGGGGTAGAGCCACCGTTCAAAAGACATAAACATAACTCTGTCGAGTGCAATAAATCCATGCATATCCATTTGTAGCAATCATACGGCCAGACCAGGGGAACACAGATACCCTTCGCATTCTTACATTGTCCGCATGTCAACCATACGGCGACCGCACGGTCAGCCTGCCTTTCGCACCTCTCACGTGTATGAGACTCATACACGTGTGCAAATTCTAAGATCATAACCATTGATTCCTCGTTTTCAATCCCTGGTTTTCAAAGCCCGTTAGATGTTAATGAATGGAGATTTTTAAATGTGCTTTCATTAAACAGCCAGGAAAAATAAAGTATTTTTCATTTCCCAGGAATCACATAATCCGTCAAAATTCATTTAATTTAAAATGTATCTAATATATTACATGTATACAATCAGACAGACTGGCTATTCTAATCCGTTATGAAAAGCCATTTGTTTTTTCCTCTACAGGATGTTTCTGCGGAAGTTAATTTGTTTATCTTAGTGTTTAGAGGCAATGTCCTTTGACGCTTTCGTGAAATAAATGAACTCTGCGATGGACTACAATTGTATATTTTTACAGGGACAGTCTGAGGCCCAGGAATACGTTAAAAATGTTTAAAAAGTCCCCTTGTGTACTGAGTTGGTAATGCGTGGTGTATACATGTATATTAATAGACTATATTACTATATTACTTACATTGAATAAGAATAAGACTGATTTTTTATTTACCGAAGTAGACCACTGTTACATTATTTTCATTTTAGGTCTCTCTAATTAGTTGCATTGCAAAAGTCTACTATTATTCTCTCCTGTGCCGAATGTACTTATACCCGTAGCCAAGGGGGGGGGATGTTCAAGGAGTCCAACTCAACAGAATTCGAATTGAATACAAAATAAATTCATAACATATAAATATATAAATACATAATGTCTATCCAAGTCTTCTTGCATTTTCTGAACTTCAAATGCGCCTTTTGATGTGTGATAACAAAATACTAAATAAATACTTAATGTTACTCCAGCTTGTTTTTATAGTAATTTGGCAATTAAACATGCATAAAGAGATAGCAATGTGTGTACTGTGTACAACCCGAATCCTCTCCCGATCAGGTCACGTTTTATATGTCTCTGATGTAATAACTGCCCTGTCAACCCTCACACATTAGGCGTGATTGTTACGCATTTGCTGGAAAAATAGAAATCACGCATCAATTTAGCGTGTATGATCAAATATCACGCAAATCACGGATTTTGTTGAAATTTTTAAAAATCGTTTTTTGTGAAATGCCGACACGGTAAAATACCGAACGGCGAAAAAAAGCGAACGCATTCCGTTCGGTCTTTGCACGCGATTGCCGTTTATGTCACACATTTGGTACAAAATATGTGTATATATCACGCATTTGTTTTGAAAATATTCACACATACCTATTTGATTGAAATCATTCAAATCAAAGTTGGCATTCGAGAACAAAAATGTGTCCAGTCAAAAATAGATTTCTAATGTTTGATTTTGAGTAGTTGTATATATTGATCCTTGTTTTTCAATCTACAGATGGTTCACTGAATTCCGAAGTAAACAGAAAATAATAAACATTTCCTTGGTTCCCATGATACTGCTTATAACCCAGGCCCGTAGCCAGGATTTGCCAAGGGGGGGGGGGCAGTTTTGAAAAATGTCTAGGGGGTTCACATTTGACAATTTTGGTCCAAATATGGCTAAAATCACACGAGAAATGCTCAAAATGGTGAAAAACTGCATGATTTTGAAAGAATCTTTGGCCAGGGGGGTTGGCCCGAACCCTGCGAACCCCCACCCCCCTGGCTACGGGCCTGCCTATAACCTATAATACTCATTTATTAAAACAAATATTAATTTATCCGTCTGTCTGATTAGATTTTGTTCCCTGACTCAAACCAGAGACATATAAAACATATATATTTTATATGTCTCTGCTTAAACAAAGTCAACCCCGATTTCAGTTCTAAATTCTTCACTTGAAACGATATAGCCAACATGATACAACATGAATTTGGATTAATTATACAGCCTATTGTAATCAAAACCCATAAATCCTCACCATATAAATATAGTTTTATTGATGACCAAAAACAGGTATCAGGGGCGTAGCCAGCTTTCAGTCAGGGGGGAGGGGGTGCGATCGCCAAAAAGATTTCGATTTTCAGTCAGGAGGGTACGATTGTGGCCTGAGCCGCATTTTAAAGCTCCTTTCTTCTTCTTTCTCAGGGTTTTATTTTTATTGTTAAGGGGGGGGGGTGCGATCGCACCCATCACAACCCCCCCCCCCCCCTGGATACGCCCACGGATATTTTGGCAACTTCCACGTTTACCCCCCCCCCCCTAATCATTTTTGCGCCCCCTCTAAATATCAGACCAATCAGGCGATGAGGCATGGATCAGGGTACCCTGACTCCCAAGCTGTTCGACTTCTGGCAACCGCTACATCTATATTCCCGGGGGAAATGCTTTTTCCTTTGAAAAATTATCAAATATGGTCGTGTGTGGGCAAACACGGAGGAGGAGGAAAGGGGTGTGTGCATTGCGTGCGATCCCTCATCAGTTGTGTACCTTATTTTTGTATGAATTTCTCCCGAACAGTTATGCTAGAGGGGTTATAATATTTATTTCTGTTTTCAAAATGTAGAAAATCGTTTTGATTTCGACACTAACTGAAGTAATTTATCACAATAAATTGTTAAATACGGAAACAGAGACCGGTTTAAAAATGAAAAGAGAGGCAAAAAACTCTATTCATACAATGTAATTAAAACCCGGGAATTAAAAGCAATTTTTGACTGTTAGATCTTCTGTAATCAAGGTGATGTTGGTACACTTCCACCGTTAGAAAAACAAAGACTAAGACAAAGAATATATAGCAATTAATCCTTTTGTAATCATTAAATGTAGATTTTTATTATTTCGTTGGACAATGTTCAGACTTCTGACCAAGATTTATTCATTTATGTTTGAATTTAAAAAATAGTATTTAAATCAAACAGACGTTCTAATGAGTTAGAAAAATACATTTGTCCATCACCTCTCAAGAGTTTTCAAAAGTAATCAAGTCGATTTGTTTATTTAGTGTTTAGCATATTGTTTTTCATAACTTGACGCTTCCATGAACAGAATGACTTTGAAATGAGTATTTATAATTTTAGCTTTTATACGACATGCTTATTGTATATTTCTATATGAACGTTGTAGTTATGTGATGTAACATCGCCCCCCCCCCCAAATTACAGGTATACAACTTTTGGTCGGAATACTTTAACTTGCAATTAAAAGCAATTTTAGACTGTTAGATGATCTCTTATGTAATCTAGGTGATGTTGGTAGACTTCCGCAGTTAAGAAAACAAAGACTAAGACAAAGAGAACTATATAGCAATTAATCCTTTTGTTATCACTAAATGTTAGATTCTTTATTGGACAATATTTTGACTTCTGTCTCCGATTGTTATGCAGATATGTGTATATAATCATGTGAACAACATATTACGTGGAAATTCCCATATTCATTCTCATAATGTCTTACAGCTATTTCGCAAATGACATGCATGTAAGCCTAAATATTTATTTATTTATTTCGACTTACACTTTTAAAACAGTGGCTCGCATTCATATATAGTATGAAAGGAGCGTCGACATTCGTTAAAAGATTATGTACATATAAAAACCTATAATTTACTAAAATAATGGTAATCATGGTTTTCCAGAATATGGTATGTATACCTCTGTTAAAAACGTTTTAAAACAATTGTCAAATTGTTTTCCTATTTCATTCCCCCACATTATAAAAACATCATCCCCAAGCATATATTGTATTTTAAGGTCAGGGGGTAATTGTAGGAACTCAGACACTTAAAGAGCATCACATGTTTTTGAAAGTTGTTTGATAAAAGAATTTCTTTCATTAGTAAAGTATGGGCAAAAGAGAAAGCGATGTGTACTTGTATCTGGGACCTTCAAATTACAGGTCGAGCAAAGCCCATCACTTATTTTCCAGCGCTTCCTATCGGCTCCTAAGTTAAAGCATCCAGCTCTTGCCATAAATTTCAGTCGAGATGGGAAAAAATCTGTTTCATTTTTCAAATGGTAGAGATTAAAAGGTGGATTGGATCGAGTGGATTGGATTCATGTAAAAGGTGGATTGGATCGGGAATCTTCAAAATGTGGAATTTCTTATGAAAAAATTTCTGTTGATCTCCCTCTAAACAATTTCCCTCTACAGTATTACAGGTCCCTTTTGAGAAATTAGAACAAAGCAATGACAAATACATTCTCCAATTAGTTCATGGAAACTCTTAAGTATTTAACCGCTTTCCCTTGTAAATCAACTTTTGTAAGACATACGTAGATCTTTAGAAAAAGAAAACCTTTAATGTGTGAATGTTCACAAAACATTTCTGGTATGTTCAGTTTGGATTGAAAACAGATGATATGGATCTTCAAACCAGTCTGCCTTATGATTTATGAAATGTCTCAAATTACACTTGGAATGAATAAGATCGTGTATCAGAAAGCGGGTACCAGGCCATCCTTCTAGCCCTCCCAAGCAAAATAATATTACATCTATTATTTGACATTGTGCAAGTGAAGAGAGCACCAATCTTCCTAAAGGGAGATCAATAGAATTTTTTAAAGGAAAATCTATATTTTGAAGATAGCCAATCCAATCCACCTTTTACATGAATCCAATCCACTCGATCCAATCAACCTTTTAATCTTTACCTTTCAAATAGTTTTCCTTAAATGGGTGCATTTTAAAGGTGGTATATTCTCTTAATGAACTTTTTTGTTGGATTGCTTCTTGGAAGTCATTAAGTCTTTGTTCATTTGATATTTGTATGAAAGACCCATACCAATCGGGATATTTAGATGAAATACAGTCATCTAAACCATATTTAATAAATGTGTTGGAAACCGATTTAATATATGGCCAAGATGATTTTTGGTTCTTACTGAAACGTTCAAACATTTTGGTATATATATCTTTAAAAAAAATAACATGTGGACGTAATATTGCAGAAGTTAGCGAAAAGAAAGGTTGAACAAATTAGATTAAGATATTTTATTTTTTAAATGCACAAAGGGCAACAGTTGAAGAGCAAAAATTAAAGGCGTTGTGAAATAGATCGTGCTTTTGTATGATCCTCTTCTATAGTGCCCTATACCCTTTGCATTCGTTCAACTTCACTTCTTAAAAGAGAGTTTCGTCTTCTCGTAGTATATAACTAGACTCTGCACGTAGCGTAATAGTGCCCCTATTAGCCATGTACAGGGGCGTAGCAAACTTGGGGGGGATGCGATTGCCAAAAAAACAATATCGGATTTCAGTCTGAGACAAATGGTCAAACATGAGTTTCAAAAAACTTCTAGAATTACCTTATGTAAATATTTACGTTAGCTTGTTTAATTAAGGTCTGACGTTATGAAAACAAAGTGCCATTAATTTCTGAACCGTATAATACAGTATCATCTGTTTGGTCTCGGTATATTCCAGTTTAATTTGTATTATACAAAAAATGATATGTATAATTTGTATTATACCACTTTGAAACCTGTTATAATAGAAAATGATATGCGTATAATACTGTTTAATCTGATCCTGACTTAAATTATACCAGGTTAAACTGGAATATATTTGGTTTAATCGGGTATCATTCTCTAATGATATTTGAGTCCGGATCAGATGTTATAATATTGAATGATACTTTCTGTGATATTGGATTAAACAACAAATTAAACATCAATATAAGATGTTATCACAAGTATTAATCATAGGATTTTACATAGTGGTAAACAGAGAGAATACTAGCAGATTGAATAGCAGCCTGGCGTCCATTGTAGAGTTGTAGAGTCAATAGCATAAGATACCTTCTCTTACTCAACATTGCATACGTTTCGATTTAACTTTTGTCATTAACCAATGCACAATCATCCAATCAAAATTCAGTTAGATTACAAATAATAAGAATAAATAAATAAATGATGCCCTAATATCTCTCACCCAACAGAGACATTGGGCGTTGCTATGTTCTGAAATCAAACAAGTAAACAGTTCCTTTATGACGATAGCATTGTAATTGGCATACAACTGCTGATGAGCTTATCGTTTTTCCTTTTTTTCGTATGCATATGAGAGGATTTCACAATTTCAGGTTTCACGAACTGCTTTTATTGTATTGTATTGTACTTTGTTAACCAACACGGAAGGCAGATCCAGGAACCCCTCCTTGAAGGAGCCCTATATTTTTTATGTGAACTCATACATAGGCATACGAGTACACACCACAGCCTTTTTACGAGTCATGGACCGTTCAGTCAAACACCTTAAAGTACTTTACGCAACAAGCAAATACAATACAAAGTGCCTGAACCGGGAATCGAATCTGGAACCTACTGTATGCGTAATTGGTACGTGTGCTCTACCGTTGGCTTAATGCGGACCCTTATGCGGACGGGGTTCGGAAGACCCCTCTCCTCCGGATTTTTTTTTACTTTTCTGCCATTAATAACATTTTTCTGTAATTGTAGTAGCTATAGCTACAGCTATAAATGGTTGTAGCACAGTTGGTGCAAAGATCGAGGAAATCGGGGGAATAGTTAATCAGAGTGGCTAATATGTTTTTCAGAGGGGCCAATAAGTCAATCAGAGTGGCCAATGTGTTGATCAGAAGGGCCAATGTGTTAAGCAGAGTGGCCAATAAGTTAATCAGAGGGGCCAATGAGTTCGTCAGAGGGGCCAATAAGTCGATCAGAGTGGCCAATGTGTTAATCAGAAGGGCCAATGTGTTAAGCAGAGTGGCCAATAAGTTAATCAGAGGGGCCAATGAGTTCGTCAGAGGGGCCAATAAGTCGATCAGAGTGGCCAATGTGTTAATCAGAAGGGCCAATGTGCTTATCAGAGTGGCCAAAAAGTAAATCAGAAGTTGAGAAATAAAACTGGGGAATGTTATAAAAACATTGAAAAAAATATTGGTCAGTTGCAAAAAAATATTCGGCAGTTTCAAAAAAGCATTGGGTAGTTTTTTTAAAAAAAGACCAGATATGGCCAAATTATCAGCAGCGTAGTATTAATCAGATTTCAGTATTTAGACAAGGTAAATAATAAAATTATAGTATACCCAATGCCGCAAAAAGTGGATATCATGTGCTGTTCTCACCATGTACTCTCTATACTTTAGTCTATTGGATATATTTTTGCGATATAACTCGATACTAGCTTAATTTATGGTTGAATTCTTAAGTTTTGGCCAATTGTTGCATCAATAATATTTACTTTTTATGTTAGTGATCGATATGATACATGACATTGTCCTCTATAAGATAAACAAGGCCTTAACATGTAAAAATGTCACCACCTGCAATTGTTTTATATTACAGACGCCGAATGTCGAACGCCGAACACCAACTACCAAACGTCGCACAAGTTAGAGACCAAAACAATATGTCAACATTTTATATTGGATACATATTATACAGTGCCAGGGCTTAACAATAACAAATAATGGCCCCGCCACTGTTTAAAAAAATCTCCATTAATTCGAAAACCTACAGGTTCTTCAGTAACATTTGGCATTTGTATATTCAAACAAGCGTGAAAGAGTGACGTTTAGTTGATTTCTTCCGAGTCATACAACTTTCAGTCACGAAATATTGATAGATAATCAGTTCGTCAATTGACCTTTTGCGATCAGAATTCAGGAATTTTGTTTATGGATACTGTTGTCACGTATTTCGTCTTATTGGTATGACGTCATATAGAAATGATATTAGACATGATGGAATCACGAAATGGCGGACACGTGGCAGTTTTGAGCTAAAAATATTGTCGTTTCTTATATAAAAACCATGGGTCGGATATTTACCAGGTATGCCTATTTGACTAGATCATGAGTTTGTCTATATATATGCGAAGTTTGGGTGAAATTCATACTAAACATCGATGCCTATTAGCGCCCCCCGTTTTTGTCAAAATCGGGGGGCGCTAAACCGCTATCTAAATCATGTCAGTAAGACCTTAGACTTGGTATGTGCTTAGCATGAATGTTGATCTAGTCAAATAGAACGCTTTCGTGAAAAATAAATCAATAAAGCACGAAATATAGAAGATAATCTCTCAAAATCAAGCATCTAAAGCTGGGTGACCTAATTGTGACGTCACTAAAAGACAGAATCCATTCGGTGATCGCAAATCATCAATTACATCGACGACTCTGACGTAAAGGTGTTTTGGAACAAAGTTTACATTGACGTTTCAATTTAGAAAATATGTACATTAGACCTATGTTTCAATTATGATGGCACTCATATTACACGATATTACAATACATATCTGATATATTAGTTATCCATTACTATCGCTTTTAGTTTTGCAGTTCGTTTTTGTGATGTATTGGAACAAAAGCATACAAATACTGAATTTTATAAACTGTTTTCTATGTATTTGTTTCAATAAATGACATAGCAACTTAAAAAGCCTATCGAATTCATATAGTAAGATCAAAAGTGCTCTAATTTTTGTAAACATTAATGAATCTGGCTCTGACAGAATGTTGATCTAACAATTTTACATACATACAGTAAATTTCACTACGTAACATTTAATGTTCTGCGTTCTATGGTAACCATAGCAACCCATGTCGAGGGTACCCATGATTTATGATGACATGATATACCAATGATTATTAAAAACGATCATACATGAATACACCATGAATCATTAAATCTTAATGATAACACGATTACAATGTAGTCACGCGCCATTCAAAGATTGCGTGAGACCCTCCTCCCTCAAGCGGACAGCGGAGGAGAGACTGATTAATAAATCATATCAAATGCAAGCTTGTGACCACTCAGTATAAAAAGACACATTGTGACCGTAACAGCAAAGAAATGTTTCCTTATGTTAAAACATGTGTTTTCTGAACGATTTCAATTTGATAAATTGGTAGCGAATGGTAAACTACAAGTTGATGGTCACAAACTTCAACGTTTCCATGATCGTGCGTGCACATGTCAATCTGGAAAATGATTTGTTTTAGCTATTTATACTAAATAAATGATATTCATATTCGACTAGACAATTGAGGTACGGTGAAGGTTCGTTCAAAATGGCCCATTAATTGATTGGTTCATTCAAATAACTGTTCACCAAGATTGTATCACGCTATTTAGAGATTTGGAGACCATAATTATATTACTGTCTGCTTCCATTGTCAGTTTGTTCAAAACGCTATCAGTAAACCAGCAATGAAACTATTAATGGCATCGTACATGTTGCGGTGTTAAATTTCGTGGTGTACTCATAAGTACATTCAAATAAAAAAACACATAACTACACATGCAAATTACATCGGGCCCCATACGAGCTCGTACGAGCCCCGGGAATTACGAGTCATTACGGGCAAAAAGGACCACCATCCTTGTACGGGCTCGTAATTTCGAGGCCCATACGAGCTTGTACGAGGCCCGTTATCGGACAAAAAATTAATTGTTGTCATGCTACATGATTCACGTATCTATCCAGAACATGCTATATTTGTTTAATCATTTCAAATTGATGTATTTATACCAACATTCGATAACAGCAGTATTTATTTACATCACAATTCAACTTAATACAATGCTGCACGCAAATGTTTTTATATGCATTTACTTCCCTTGTAGAGAAATTTGGTGTCTCCCATTGGTTACCCTGTTTATTTTGTTTTCTAGCTTTTATACTGTCTATCATATACAGGGTGGGCCAAAAAAACAATGCCCAACTTTAAATCAGAATAAAAATAGTTACGTTCAATATGGTGCATTGACTTATATATCATTTTAAAGGTAATTCATTTTCAAAAAATTGGGCCACAAGATATGTCAGATAAAAAATAAGGCCCAGACTAGGTTTAACTTGTTGCACTAGATACAATCATGATATTTTTTTATTTCTTCAATATCATTGATATTTTTATTTTTTGCATGACACACATAGAAATAACATTACAATAACATTCATGCAGACAGCCCTTATGAAGCTTGACTATTCGGAAAAAGTAGGGTACACAGGCAAATTACATGTACATCGGACTCCGTACAAGCCCGTACGGAGCTCGTAGCAGTCAACGGACCCTGTACAACCTCATACGGGCCTCGTTACGAGTCTCGTAATTGCTTGTAATTTTCGAGCCTCGTAAGAGCTTGTGACTACAAGGCTAATAATAGCTCGTAATTTTCGACGGAACGCCATGGTCCTTCAGGGGGCATGATACATGTATATTGACCCTTAATAGCAAATTGCTACTACATGGAGTAGTGGCTGTAGTGGCTCTTATGGCTCGAGCTACATGGCGTCAGACTTAAGAGCGGAAGGTCCTTGGTTCGATTCCCACATGGGGCATTGAATATAGCAAACTCCCTTTTATGTCTATTATCTGACTTGTAACACTACATCTCCTCGGACGAGTGTCCCAAGGGCCGTAACATTTTATTGATCTACAACGTTAGCATCTTAGAGTGTATTTTTCTATCGCTGTAAGACTTAACAAAACGGCTGCTATTGATTGATTTTAAATTTTAGTGGTAGTGAAACTAATTTGTCAGTCTGGTTTCTTGGTAGTTATACGTACAAGTAGATTTCTGCTAATGAGACTTTGATATGATAACAATTATATTAAATTAAAGGGTTATGCAAGATATTCTATTTTTCTGTACTTTTGTATCAGTAAATATTCACATATATGTTATTAATTTTGTTTATAATGCATTAGGTAAAACCTAATAACATTTAATTATTTTTAATAAACAGTTCTTATAATAAAACTACATGTAGATAGATGTAATAGTATATCTTCTTTTGTGAAAAATCCGTTTCTCCTATAAAAATTGCATTGCTTTTTTATATTTTGGTTATGTCAGATCCCTGTTAAATTGTAAATGTATATCACATAATAATGTTGTTTAAAGATGTCTCATAGGTACAGCCTACAATAACCACGACGCATCCCTCGAAAATTCCTGGCACGACTTTCGTCAAGCCATGGCACACATTGCCCTACTCTGAACTCATACATTTCGATTCAATGGTTTACTATTGATATTTCAACCAGGCCGCTGCCTCATGGGAGATTCACTTTCATTATTACCTCGATCATTCTCCTTTTAAAAATATGTTTAACTTTTATTAGAAACACTTTTCTTTGTGATTTAGTTACATTTAAGAGTTTTTCTGTAGTGGCTGGTCGTATTTTTCGAAAATTATTTTATTACAGAATGTTTTGATGCTATTCTATATATCTCTGTTTGACACTCGTGCAAACATATCATACCAAACATTGTTTAGAATGTTGCGGATTTGTCTAGCTATGATCAATTGTATTTTGTTGTGTCTCAATATACTTTGCTGTTACTCTTTGGATTTTGTGTTTGCATATTTGAACGACGGGAATCACATTAATTACCAATCATTCAGATTTCTATTTAAATATTTTCACACCGATACACTTATTAAAAGTGTCTAGTGTTATCAATATATATACTTTTTAAATATTTTTGAATATATAAAAAAAATGTATAGATTACGTATATCTGGTTAGCACCGTTCTAAGAATGTGTACGTGTAAACGTATGCCCACTGTTGACTAGTTTTCACTTTACTGGCCTTTATTTACCCGATTGAGTATGAAGGTGTGAGGGAAATAGATGCAATAAGGTCCCCGTTTAAACCAAATGAGAGGTAAACAACATTCTATGACAGTCATATAATATTACACGTAAAGGTTCCCCATATGCTAGTAACTCAACCTCTCTATTTTGTAAAATGTAAAGCTTTTATTTATAGCTTTTATTTCTCATGACTGGTTGCTTCTTTCTTTTGTAACACTTTTAAGTCTAGTCTCGTTGGCATTCGGTCATACATATTTATAGTGATAATGTATATAGTGATGATATAAGACAACTTGCGAAGCGGGGGTTATTCTTAAGACCATACACAGCTAGCTTTGTTTGATTTAAAAATCAAATAACAAAAACAAGGTCAAGTATGCAAACTCAAATGATTATTAAATAATTGGATTCGATGCACATACAATGTACATGTACACTCCCCTCCATAAGTTTGGCAACCGTAGCTCCCCCATTGAAATACGTGTTAAAGCCCCTTTACCTTTGAATTGCCAAACTTATGGAGAGGAGTGTACATAATAATGGTTGATAGAAAGTCGGACGAATCACTTAAAAGTCCTATGCGATATAAAACGGAATGAAACATCGATGTTATACTGTATACTTGTAATGTACAAATTTATAAAACATTAACATTAAAATACAGAACAATTGAAATAAATACATTAGAGTCCAATAAAAATAGTACACGTATAATACATAATATAGCTTTTCAGATTGAAATATTCAGCGGTGATAACAAAGGCTCTCTGTGGATTCAAAACATGGATGCATGATAATCAAACCGGTAAAACCAGGCAGTACTGAAATATTGGAATCCTGGAATTTAAATACCCTTCTTGAAAAGTCCACGATAATACAGAAATATAGTTTATTTTTATCTACAAAATGGTGTGGCCTTTTAAAATTGTAAAATGTGAAATATTTTAGTATGTCAGTCCTGGATTCAAAATGTGATGCATCGAATGTATAGTGGAATGGTTCATCTCAAATATTTCCCGGAAAGACATGTAATTTATTTTCCACCAGTGGCCCCATTTTCAGCAAGACTCGTTTTCGATCCATGCACATGCGCAGTATCCACATCCGCTAAATTTTCCTTTGATATTCTAAGTGACGTTTTAGATGCCCTAAACGAGCGTTTTGAAGCAGCTCGTAGCATTGTCTTCCAGTTATAATATGTATACATTGGTGTATAGTTCAATGGTCCATGGCCAGGTTCGATGGCATCACCTTCGTCTATTTCCACACGCCCAAATATACACTCCTCATAGCTTGGGGGAGCTAAAAAATAATGTCATCAACAATTTTGAAGCAGTTTATGATTACGGCATAGGCCCTTCTAATTTGCGTGTTGTGTTTCGGGGTATCCCTTTTTCATTTCGCATATAATAAAATGTTTGAAAAAATGCTCGGTTGATGAATATGTTATTTAACAGAGACATGGTATGGAAAATATCCATTTGAAAGGCTAAACACTAAATTTTAAAGTATTTAGTTTCAACAAATATGTCATATTACCCAAGACTGTTCTCGTTCACAATAATTACATTGTCTGATATTTATGAATTTCAAACAAAATAAGGAAGAATTTGGGAAGAATTAGCTATAAATATTTTTTATTCACGAAAATTACATGTTTCGAATTATAATCGAACAAGGTGATTGCGGTGTCTAAAACTGCAGCGGCAAATACAATGCACTAAGAGGCGCATATTCACTAAAATGCAAATATTCGCCAAAATACATGTAATTACGAAGCAAAAGTCCAAAAACATGTACAACAGGTCAATTTGAACATTCATATATTCTGTATGACCATCGTTCAGATAATATGTGATGGGTTTCTGCGATGCTTTACAATAGCAAGCAACATTAACCCAGCCTAGCTTTGGAAAAACATGCAATATATATTCATACTATCTAGTTTCTAATCTGATTTTGCCCTCGCGTTTGGTTTTGTGAGAAATGTGCAAAAAAAATAAATGGAATTTGATTCAAGCAGGTTTCAGATGGATTATTCAGAAAAACCAAACAAATCATAGACATTATTTCAATCATCAAAACATTTTTTTCTTAGAAACAGTAAGCTACGTATATCCATTTATTTGAAAGTGTTAAGGTTTGTTTTTGATGTTCCGCGACCTAAGTGATTTACTAGAATGCCTAGATTTTGTGTAAAATGAACATTATTGCTGTCATGTTAAATAAGCACCACATGAAATGTCCTGGTATATTTTTGTGATGTTTATAAGAGAGTCTCGTTTTGAAGAGAGCCAATATCAAATACATTTCTTTTTTAATATCCCTTCTACAATTTACTATCAACTATATATGAAAATTACCCAATGAACAGAAAAACATAGCATGCATTTATATAATCATTATTTCCTTTTGACAACAATTTCATCACATGCTTACGTTTGCCATTTAGTATTCAGCGACTTACACAAAGATAATGACCGGGGATAATGATAAAGGAGCACGTAGGTTATCGCAAACAATTTCAAACGATTCTAACTTGAATTTTATGAATATTGTCTGATCATGAACATGGGTGTATCTTTTAGATACATTCATTATCTTCAAAATAAGTATATGTAATGATAATTAGTTAATCAGACCTAAGTGATATTGAAGGGGCAATGGACAAATCAACATACTTTTTCAAAAATGTTGACCTAATTTTCACCAAAATGCAACCTTTTATTATTGCTGAATGCATAATTAGAATGTACTTTGAGACATGTTTGATTTCCTAAAAGGAAAAGTTGATTGCTCCTGGGACTTTAAAGATACTGAATTTGGATGACCAAAATGAACTGAAACCAATGGATAGCATGAGATTTTTCAATTGAGAAATAACATGGGGAACACTTATCTTAAAGCAATTAAGTTTTTCTTTCAAGAACGATTTGATACATCAAAAGAAAGAATAGTAATGCATTAAACATTGTAAAAAATGATTGCATTTTTGGTGAAAATGGGGTCAACATCTTTGAAAAAGTGTGTCGTTGGGTTGATTGCTAGTCAAATATCTCAGAATTTGTTTGACTTTATTATTAATGTGCAAAATTTTCTTTGAGAAAATGAATTGATCTAAAATATAAACTTGTCTTCATTGTCAGAAAAAAGTCGTAATCCTAGATATAACCTGCATAAATCGTTTGCGATAACCCACGTGCTCCTTTGAACAATAATTTGCGTCACTATGTACCATGCGAATGGCCAATTATGTTTACCATAGCAGTAAGCAAGAGCAATTGATCGAAACGTATGGAATGGCAAAATAAAATTCATTAATGATTGATCAAAGGTCATTCTTAGAAAGCAATGTGGAAAGCCATGATCGTGTTTTCATGTATCCTGACAAATGTGAGACTAACATTTCAGTACAATTGTACAAACAAGCTAATGAAATAATATTTCAGCTATTTCCTCCGACTCAATTAATCGTTAGATATAGTTGGGGAACTATATGATACACTTTAGAAACAGTCGAAGTCAAAATTTTCCAAAATTAAAGCGAACCACAAAACTTGAATGAGAATGGCCGAATGTCAAGGAGGATTGTCTCCGAGAAGGCAATCTCGATATCATATTTCATAAGCCCCGTGTATACAAAAAACAAATCTTTGAGGGATTTCGTGATTATGAAATTCAAAATCATAACCGTCGCCATTTTTTCACTTCAGATTTTGAATCACGAGAATCACAAAACAAAAAATTCAACACACAAGTGATCAAGAAATAAGCTCAAACCTTTTGGATTGTTGATTGTGAATTTAAAGCCAGTTTAATGTCAGACAATAACGACATTTTTAGTTCTGGAAAATATCGAGGCTGAATTCTGGGAGCCAATCCTCCTTGGCCGAAGGTCAAGAAGATATGTATAAGCGAACAATGTTTTACGTGGCAGGCCTAACTAACCGATCAGTCAGATCCCAACAACGGGGACGTGGACTTACGCAGGTGATCAGAGAAACAGTTAACTCTAGCTGGAAGCATAGAATAGTCAAGTACAATATGCAAATAGCTGTTAAAGAAGTGATCTATTAAAGTCGAAAGCGGTTAAAAATAGTCAAACACAAAAGTCTATAGGGGTTAACATAGTCAAGTACAAAAGATAGATACAGCTCTAAGAATGGTCAGGTACAAATAGGGTTGGGTCTTGGGGCTGGGTATAGTCAAGTATAAAAAGGAAGAAAAGGAACAGTGAAATAATTGCTATAAGCAGTTTTAAGCAGGGTTTGCATCCCGGGGTTTGCATAAGCAGGTACAATGACACTAGGTAAGCGGTTCGTCATTTTAATGGTGACAGTTGGAAACCATTTTGAAGTAAAATGGTTAAAAACAAAATGCACTATATTCATTACAAATAAATTTGTGCAATTTACACATTCATTTGCAAGACACTATTGAGACTAGAGGTAATTGAAGCCAAACGCAGGCGTAGTCAATCATATAGTATACAGTTATACAGTTTATAAGAATCCTTAAACACAAAAACATATATCAATAATGAATATCTTTTAAAAAGATATTTGATTTTTAGTAACTGTGACAGATGGTCGAATGCTTATGAGGCACAGCTGATTCTTTATTATTAGATCGGTAAAAAGTGTCAATAATAGGAAATAATCAAAAAGACACTTGGGTTCGTACTCAGGGGATTTCGGGCCAATAATCATACAGTTGTTCACCATATTGAGCATTTTTTAGTGATTGAGGACCGAAATTGTCAGAACTGAAACCCCCTTTGTAAAACCTGACTACAGGTCTGACACTGAACTATCATGTTAAAGCATATATGTGATGCTAATTAAAAGTCCATCAATATCTAATTATATCACAGCTATATGCTCATAATTTCACCAGTGTTAGTGATCCCTTTTGTAAATGTGGATTACCACAAACACCTTCTCATTTAATCTTAAAATGTCCTCTGCTTGTAAACCAGCGTGAAACTTTATTTGCAGGACTGCGAACTTTAGATCTTCATCTTTTGGTTCAGAGTTTGAACACAGTTCACAAAATTCAGCTTCTTTTGTATGGTGGTGAAGATTTAGATAATTCATTAAATGAAAAATTAATAGAACTAATGAGTCATTTTGTGAGTCAAAGATTGAGCCAAATTGATCGGTTTGGCTAATTTTTGCATGCATGTGTTAACTCATCCCTGGCCCGTGGGATTATAGTTTATTATATGAGTTATAACATTACTTTGATAAATTGTTAAATGTTAATAATACTTTGAAAAATATTGTTCAGTAAGGTTGTATTGACTTACATGGGGCTGTGCACCATTGACTTAACATGGGGTTATCATCAGATCCCAATAGAGGCCATTGGATTCCATTGATTATATCACAGAAATCCCCAAAATACACTATGACCTGAATCGATTGCAAACTTAATAATTTCACAATATGACACAAATGGTTCATCTCATCAAATGTGCAAATATGAAGTTTGCAATCGATTCAGGTCATACTTTAAATTAAAAGATTGTAGATTTTTTCATCATTTTTTCCCTACAAAATGGCCATAGAAAAATGCTCCAAAAACATCTTTTACACTTATCAAATATCATAAAACTTTGCAAAACCAAAGATTATTATATTATATTTCATTATTTAGTATCATATTTGGATAAGATGTAGGGATGCGTATGATGCAAATGGATTTGATAGACACAAACATACTTCCTGGTTTGGAATCTACACCTCTACACTTCATGATTGAATTATTGCAAGCGCATTACTTCCTTTTATATGACAGAAAACATCGTATACAAAGCTATATGCAAAGCTACAGCACATACGTAAAACCACACCCTACATACACAAACATTATGGACAACACTACATTATGGACAACACTTATGAACAATGCATTGAAGACAAAAACAAAGCACATATTGTAAAACAAAAATACATGTCACCGTACTTACTGGTACAAGGTCGTTTAATAAGTTCATGCAGGTTGGAAGAGGAACTGATTGCAAGTTTCCGTTAAGGTGCGAGCAGTATATTTATAGTTACCATAGCAACCATAAAACTTGAACAATCAGAGAACACTAACTTATTTATTGTGTTTCAATGCATGCGTGTAGATTTTTGTGTAGTTTTTTCAAATTTTGTAAAGGTCCGAACAAGAGCTTTTTTGCATGAGCCTATATTGGAAGACCCTATATAAAACTTTGGGGAATACAAAACATTCCAAGCGATAGCTAAAAAATCTATTGAATTAACACAACCAGCTAAACATGACCAAGTGAACTCATTTACCCATTCACATTAACATTGATATAATCACGTGACCTCATCTGCCCATTCACCCCAGCACAGATATGACCACGTGATTAATCATAAATAATTTAATAAGTCCTCATATGACATACAGATAGTATAGAACTATAGCTAGTACAACATATATGCATATCAGATGGTCAATCTGTTGTACCCTCTCATGAACAACATTTTTTCACGAGGAAAACATAAAAACTATACAGTATAGCAAATAATATATGTCCACCTTTAGTTCAGACTTACGGATCTGACCATTTGATACTTCAGAATTTGAGGGTGCAAGGAGCTATTCTAATAGCAAACATTTATTTACATTCTGGGATCGGATCATGCCCTTGCTGGGGTTCAAATACAACAATGACAGGGGGCTCAGCGATGACGTCAGCTTGGGGAACTGGAGGTTTAGCATCTATAACAAAATACACATGCAAACATGGCGTATCATATCTATCATTACAGTCATTGTCACATTGATCATTGGCTGTTTCACGAGATTGTGACGTCATCTTGTTGGTATAGTAACAAGTAGTGCTTCCTGTTTTCAATCACCCATGTCCAATGAGATTTCTCCTCAGAGTATTTTTATATTCACGTTACTAAACAAATGAGCAATGTGACATAATATACAATCTATTAGCGTTTGGGAATAATCATGGAATTGGACTTGACGGACTAATACAGTAAGCAGTAAGTATATTAAAGCTAGTATATGAAATAATCATTTGGAATGAACTGGATGCAAAATATATATCTTAATATTATCACTTATAACAATCATTATTTAATTACTGATACACACGTTAAGCACACTGGAATTAATACACAAAATCTGTTTAACAGAATGTTACAGAACATTTAAAAATTAGAATTACAATTACGTTTACACATTATTACTGTACTTTACAAAAACAGCTGGGAATTAGATAGAGGAGTGGAGTTATTCCGTTATCTATGGCAAAACGAACCCTTGCACTCGTCAAAAAGAATTTACCCAATCATTTTCCTGATTTTATATCAAACAAATGATCATATGTCATTGTTACATTTGCCATCAGTATTGTAATTGCCCATTGAAAATAGTTTGATTTTAATTTGATTTTTTTCACAAATAATAATAAATAGTACCGTGGTACTGGGCACACATGGTGTTGTGGTCCTAGTTTTCGGGACAAAAAGTCCAAAATCAATGATATAAATTTTGAGCGAAAAAATTGCAAACATTTTGAAAGTGGGCGAGGTTTTGAGCTTTTACTGATCTATTTTAATAAATGAAAGTGATATGGGTTTTTGCAGGCCACCTGAAATCATTTATGAAGCTATTAATTGCTGAAAAAGCAAATTTTCCTCGACAAAATGGCGGCTAATTTGAAAACAGTCGAGCTTTTGAGCCAGTTTTTTTTTTAATTTTTATTCTTCTTTATTCAATTTTAGTACATACTAATAACACATGTAGTGACTGCCGAAGTTGAAAAACATTGGTGGCAGTTTGAGCCAGGGGTCAGTGTTTTTTTTGTTAATTAATAAAGGTACCCTTAAACTAGAATCATATCAACAAAGGTTTGACAAAAGGCCCATAGATAAGACTTCATGGACAAGATCTTCGGATGGAAAATCAGAAAATTGCAGACACACGCGGGTCCAACTATGCACATTGAAAACCGTTAATTCGAATTTTAGACATACCAGATGTTTGGAATTAAATCAAGGATTTTGAGTCTCATACTACATCGTTTTTTCTCAAACTTGTTCCATACAAAGCTAAACAAAATGCTTTTCTGTTAAAACATTATTCTGTTATACAGAGGCCATCCTTTTAGCGGCGTTTTGGATCCCAAGCTGTGAGAAGCGCTTCTTACAACTGGGGACTCAAACGCCGCTAGCCAATCAAATAGTTATAATATATCACGTGACATACGTGTGCAATTTGGTTCGGTTGTCATAGGTAGGGAATATTTGTATTTCTTATCAGGTAGAACGAACTTAAACGGATCAGACATATGACAAGCAATGTATACAACTTCAGTAAGTAAAATTTAAGACTATCAACTGGCGCCATGTTTTTTTGTTAAATCAACGCTTGCATATGACGTCATACATATAAACCGGATGCAATAAAATGTTACACTGAAGTAAGAATAATTTATTAAGATAATTTCTAGGTCGTGGTTACGTATGCCTAAGTTTTGCTTTTCATTCAGATTATCGTAAAGTAACTGTTAAGATCAAAATAAAAGGTCTATCTTTTATACACGTTATGATAGAATCTTGTTTTTTAAATTTTGGTTCACACAAATTAAATCGGCTGTGAGTTTTCTTTACTCATACTTGAATATGTTTGAAAATATAAAATTTTCCTTCGACTCGCTATGATATTTGGGCACCGGTTGTAGTCTTAACCTCAGTTGTACATTTTGTGTTCAACATAAACTTACGTAAAGTAATAGTTTTCTTTCCTAAAAGCGAGTCGTGCAAAAATGAAACTAACTGATAAGACAGTGTAAAAGACATTCTCAATTGCTTAACTGCTCTTTACTCTGCGGCTGATAACGCCCAAACCCTTAAGAATGAAACATAGACGAACGTTCTAAAATATGTAATTGACATACTGTTTTGGGGACTTTTAAAACGAATAAAACCAAAATTTGATCATACTAGCAACTATGGGCAGATGATAGTGGAAATTCCCTGATGACAAATTTCCAAGAGTTAAAATCACTGCGCCATATAAAAAAGGTTCGCCCAAATGTTACCAACCGCAGAGATGGTAACTTAGGAAATAATCTAATACCAAGGAGAATGTGTAATATAAAAAGATATGTGTATAATCAATGGCTATGTTGAATGAATTCATGTTTTCTAGTTGTGTCATACTAACAGTAAATTAAACTAAATAATAACAGTCACCTTGAGATCAAAATGCAAGATTAATCATTCAAAGTTCCAAAAAACTATAAATAGATGGCACAATGTAAAAGATAACTTGCTAAGGAAGGTATATAAATGGTGTATTTGCCTTACGTTCTTCATTTTCATGTTTACGGTCATCACTCGAGGTTATAGGCGACAATTGATCCGACGATTCGGAATCTCGTTTAAGGGGCTCTGTTCCTATGGTAATATCAATTGGAACGCTTATTTTGTAGGCAGGCCCTTCGGGTTGGACAACCAACTGAAAAATATAAATTCTAAAATAGGTGGTAAATCATAAACATTATACAATAATCCTAGAAGACTTGTTCATCTTTAAAAATTATAAAAATCGAGATAGCAAGGGGAATATATTGATATATTGGGCAGCCTTTTCTTAAAAATGGCTTCTAACATTTGACACTCTACATTCATTGTCATAACTTTAATGCTTCATTGAATTCTTAATGCATTTAATACACGTTGTAATGGCCGCCATTTCAAAAGATGCCCGCCCGATGCCCATATTTATGAGGATTCATATATCAAATATTAACATAAGTACTCCCCTACTTTTCCATTTACAGCAAAAATCATAAAATAGGCGTGTAATGGTCGCCGTAAATCGATATCCTGTATATTTCTTTGCATTTAAAACATATTTCCTAGATCAGTTTTTATGTTGTATCTAAAATACTGTAAAACTGGCATTAAAATGGCGGCCATTTTGAAAATGGCATTGCAGCCATTTTCAAAATAGGCTTTCGAGCAGAACTCGTACTCCAATGGGGCATATACGTATGAAATATAAACAATATTGGTACAATGGTATTTGAGTTATTACCCGGACGGACGGGCGGATGGACGTTCTTTATCCCCCCCCCCGAACTTCGTTACATTTAAAATCAAATAAAAGTTACAGTCTTATTTATTCAAATACACTCCACGAATCATCGATCAATCTAATCACGAAAAGGACGTTTCCCAAAGTGATATGATAAAACTGATCTTCAAGGTCCTGTTGATCATTTACTGAGATAAAATCTGTCTAGTGCAGCTGAGCCACTTCCCTGTTACGTGTCAATACAATACATTTTATTCCGCTTATACGCATAATTGATATCACTTTGTCGACAATACATCAAACTCATCGACAAAAACAAACTTTTAGATTAACATCCTTAGCTGCAATGAGTGAATAAATGAAAAGAGAAAATTTTCCTCTGGAAGCGGTATACTGTATAAGTGGTAATTTTGCCTTTATCATTTAATTTGCCAATTGCCTAATTTTTCCCAGGTTCGGAATGTCCGGAAATATTATCTTCATAATTTTGCCAGGTTCGGAATGGAAAATTGCAAAGGAAAATGATAACCAATCGGCAAATTTACCACTCTGATTAAATACCACTCACGCAGTATATACTAGCACTGTGGTATTGATGCGTATGATGTCACACCCAACCAGTCTTGAAGGCTGTTTATACTTACACTATAAGGTCATAATTGATGTGTATGATGTCACACCCAACCAGTCTTGAAGGCGGTTTATCCTTACACTTAGGTCATAATTGATGTGTATGATGTCACACCCAACCAGTCTTGAAGGCTGTTTATACTTACACTTAGGTCATAATTGATGTGTATGATGTCACACCCAACCAGTCTTGAAGGCTGTTTATACTTACACTTAGGTCATAATTGATGTGTATGATGTCACACCCAACCAGTCTTGAAGGCTGTTTATACTTACACTTAGACCATAATTGATGTGTATGATGTCACACCCAACCAGTCTTGAAGGCTGTTTATACTTACACTTAGGTCATAATTGATGTGTATGATGTCACACCCAACCAGTCTCGAAGGCTGTTTATACTTACACTTAGGTCATAATTGATGTGTATGATGTCACGCCCAACCAGTCTTGAAGGCTGTTTATACTTACACATAGGTCATAATTGATGTGTATGATGTCACACCCAACCAGTCTTGAAGGCTGTTTATACTTACACTAAGGTCATAATTGATGTGTATGATGTCACACCCAACCAGTCTTGAAGGCTGTTTATACTTACACTTAGGTCATAATTGATGTGTATGATGTCACACCCAACCAGTCTTGAAGGCGGTACTGGTGGGATCCTCATCATCTCACTTTTCCAAAGTTCATTCTCGCCTAAAATAGAAATATTTTTAACCTAATGGCTACTGGAGCATTTTTATATTTAGGTGGTTTCACTAAATCAATTTGCTTAATTGAATTAATTTGACGTTTTATAAAGTTAAATTTTCACACATCTTAAAAACCTAGTTCCAATATAAATTGGACAAAGATTGCTAAAGTATTAGCCATAAAATTTGGTAAAAAGAATCTTCGACTAATTTTGTTGAACGGAGACTAAAATATGCGTAAAGATACTAATCCTAAGGATGGTACAAATAATATAAATTATAGACCTTTTACACATTGATAACTACAGGGTGTTAAATATGGACCGCCTAAAATTCACCTAGTTTGACACAACTACAACATTGGGACTTCACATTTGACGACGCAAATGACCTTGATATCAATGATTCAATGCCTGATAATATCCTAAAGTTACAGTTTCATCAGACACATAATTTTTGAATTTAAATAATATTTCGTTTTTTGACATGCTCCGGGTGTCCATTTTGCCTCTGCAAACATGCTTGAACACTCGTGGGAAAAATGATCAATCACACTATTTTATCCTGCCACTGTTATCTGATTGATTCCATCCCAATTTTTAGACAGCGATATTTTTTAAGTTATCCTGAAGACTTTAAGCTTGAAATATCTTTTACAACGTATCCGCGAACAAAAGTGTATGAATCAATGTAGAGCGCGCGGACAAAACAAGCGCTTATTAGTCTACTTCAGATACCAATTCCTTGCAGACTTTGCCTCCAGAATGTCTCTATATCTGCACTTTTGGAGTTAATTTTCTAAAAAGTACCGATTGCTCTAAATTTCTTCCCCAAGACATGGGTAATAATCTTTCTAACAACATTTCTGGCAAAAAAGGTTCTCCCTAAAGTTCCCTCGCATACAAATATACGACTGATATTTGATTTGAAATATTTTTCCATGGCACGCATCTTTGTCCGTTGTTCAAACCATGTTGACTTTTAGATAGTCTTAGCACTCAAGCTTTCCACTATAACTTCCAAAAGAAAAAAATCGGTTTAGGTTTCTCAATGTTATTATTATTATTGCTGATAAAGTTAGAGACATTGAACATCTTCTTTTATAGATTCATACGTTGTTGATTAGCAAAAATCTGTTTTAGGTGAAAGCAATCATAATCAACAAGTATCACAACTCCTACAGCATTCAAGTTATGTGACATATGAATACATCCTGATAGATTCCATTCAATTCTCAATTTTGGTATGCTACACACTGTTTATGGAACACCTTGTGGTCTAGTAGTAGGCCACATAAACAAGCATTGTTCTATAAAGATTTAGTGACACATTGTTCATCTAAGAATAATCCATTGTCCTATTTGATGGACCACCCTGTAGTAGTACGCTTAGACACATACAGCAAGGAAAAACACCCTAGAGCCATAACCACCAGCTTAACAGAATAACAAACCCCCAATATCTTAAAATATAATCTGGAATTTGAAAGTCGTTTTTCGCTTGATACAATTAAGGATGCAGTACCGGTCAGCGTAGAAAAAGTTCTAGACATTAGATTTTGCTCATATTTTAGAGGTATAAAGAAAACTTTAAAAAAATTCAAGTATCTGGATGCCATTGATAGGTTTGGAACAAGAACTACATCAGAAAGGTTTGCAAATGGTTGAAGGTATGTAGGGTGTTATACCTGGTGGAATCTCCCCTCTTTCCTTAAAGGCAACTACGCGGGAATGCAAGTTAGTTTGTCCATGGTCACTTAAATCTACCTTACCACTGTACCTAACATGCTGAAAACACAAATTAACTGTGTTTAATAGCTTAGGATATGTGTTCATATCCATACGTTTCTATATTCTAAATTATTTGTATTTGGAAAAATCGCATTTCAACATTACCAAATGACATTTAGAGATTAAGTATTATAGTATTTGTACGGAAATTGAACTCCTTTGAAGTATTCCTATTAAAAACATAATATTTTCAACTAAGCTGGTCTTAGGTAAAACTACGAAAAGAACAGGTTTTTATTATGAAACACAATTACCTGTGTGAGAACAATCTTTGTATTGAGAATCTTTCGTTTGGAGCAGTTATCAACGTCTGCCATGACGGGGATGTATTCTCCCGGAACCCAGCCTCGTCTTGGTATTTTAATCGTTGCTGTGATTGGTCCAGTTGCACAACATAAGCAACAAAGGGTCTTCGACACTTCTGCCAAGGCAACATCCTAAAATAAAAATGAAACAATAAACCCATCAAGTCAAAAAGCACTGCAATGATTCAAATAAAGATTAAGGATGATTTTCAAAACTCATCCCTTTTCAGTTTTAGTTCAGGGTGAATGATACTTTGCATGCACATTTTGCCGTTTGGGAAATTATCATATAGCATATATAGCGGATGATGATGAGTCTAAACTATACTCAAGTGTTATAAAATTAAAGTTGCGATCTAGGCCTCTGATACCCATTAACGATGTTATAATTTAATGATGACGTCCGAGACAAGTTTACACAATATATATGACAAGCCCAGACATGTCGGACCAGCCTAATAAGCCTAATCAGGCATAAAAAGTAATCAAACAGATATTACTCATCTTAAATTTGACAGATCACTTTCTAAATAGATATATGTTGTCATAGTGATAGATCACTTGGTGTTCAAATTAAAGACTCTCGTGTACGGAATGACATTGAGATAATTTGTTAAGCAAAGGCTTCTGCAATGTGGGAGCTAGATTATATCTTTCCTTGTAAAGGCACTAAAACATTGTGGGATCCACAGGTTTGGGTAAAGAGGGACTGGGTTAAATTAGAATGGCACTGAGGGGTCATAGTTGAGGTTAAAGTCCCTAAATGAGGGTAAAGAGGAGCTCAGTTAAATCAGAAAGGCACTGAGGGGTCATAGTTGAGGTTAAAGTCCCTAAATGAGGTTAAAGAGGGGCTCAGTCAAAGTCCTTAAATGAGGTTTAAGAGGGGCTCAGTTAAATCAAAATGGCACTGAGGGGTCATAGTTGAGGTTAAAGTCCCTAAATGAGGGTAAAGAGGGGCTCAGTTAAATCAGAATGGCACTGAGGGGTCATAGTTGAGGTTAAAGTCCCTAAATGAGGGTAAAGAGGGGCTCAGTCAAATCAGAATGGCACTGAGGGGTCATAGTTGAGGTTAAAGTCCGTAAATGAGGGTAAAGAGGGGCTCAGTTAAATCAGAATGGCACTGAGGGGTCATTGTTGAGGTTAAAGTCCCTAAATGAGGGTAAAGAGGGGCTCAGTTAAATCAGAATGGCACTGAGGGGTCATAGTTGAGGTTAAAGTCCCTCACACTGACATTCCATTCCTCCATTGATTAATTCGCATGGTCTTCTGCTCTTGGAAATATGATAATGGTTCCTTCATGTAAAATGTTGGGTAATGGAGTCATATAGACACCCTTTTCATACAAGATCATATGTCGGGACATAAGCCATTTGAGATTTGTTTTTCTTATGACTGGTAATAATCTACGTGTTTTATTTCCTTGTTCTGTTTTGTCCCTTCTCCTTGACACAAGCGCATATATATTGAAGGAAACGGGACAATTAACCCTAACGCAATAAGCAAGACATGCGTATATTTTGGGAATACAAAAGGTATTTTTAACTATGTGAACCATAATGTAGTCGTAATATACTTTAGCACGAGTCAAGCAACTTAAAAACAATTTCTATTGCCTTTGGTCGTTTGCATCAAACACAAGATTAAAAAGACTCTCTCATGCAATTCTAGTTTATTAAAGACCATCAGTTGAGGACAAAGACCCCACCGGGAGTGATTACTGTATTATCATTGATGTTATTATCAAGTGATATCAAAATACCCGCTTGGCACACATTTGGAAACACTTTTTTCATTATTATATCAAATTTCTTGACCTCATTATTACATCGAACTTTGATATTAAACGATTGTTCTGTGCAATGATCTTTACACCGCACGAACTAACAGTAAATTGATCCAAAAGTTGACCATATTGACAGGGCAGTCGAAATATCCTGGCAAGGGTGACCATAAATCCTCATTCATTAGCAAAGCCCTTACTTAGAAAATGTGAACAGTAAGGTTATTTCGATTCCGATTTTCGTCAGTGTGAAGACAGTAAGCCAAACCTGATCACATTTGTTTCGTTTTCAAATCAAAATTTACAAAGAGTAAATTACCCCGAAGGCGACTCGTGTAATATTGAAAAGCAACGTTGACAATTGCATTAACAAGTATCAGGCTCGACGTTAACCTGTACTTAAACCTCCTTTTAGGATTCCCTCGGGATATGTAGGTGATATATCTTCTGATGTTTCCATTCCCGGGGGACCCTATGGCAGTTACTTAATCCATTACAGGGGCCGTTATTAGTGATCAACCAATACGTTATGTAGGATTGTAGCTGCCTCTTGGTGCTTTGGAGTGTTTTAGTGTTCGTTATGCCACTGGAGCATATTATATGTTTCACTGGGGATGAAATGAAATTTTTCATGATGTATGTATTTTACTGAACGTGTTTTGTTTAAGGAATAAATAATGATAGGCCATTCAATATGGTGAAATTCAGCACGAGTTGGACAGAATGTTGTACAAAGCACGAACCGAAGGTGAGTGCATTTGTACTAACATTCTGTCCAACGAGTGCTGAATTTCACCATATTGAATGGCCTATCATTCTTTATTCCGATTCAAACATAAAAATTAGTAAAAGCCGTGTCTGTGGAACGGGCATGAAGGAAGAATACGCATGCTGTCAAGATTCTGAAGTCGGCCGGAAAAATTTTAGAATTTGTTTGGGCTGTTCTATTTTACTCCCTTAAATAAGACTAGTTCACCGACTGCAAACTTGAAGTCAGCCATAGCTATATATATAGTTAAATACTAGTTACAGTAGTTACGGAGGGAGTAAAAGAGAACAGCTATCCCCGAACAGAGCCCAAGATGTGCAGCTGAGATGTGACGTCACTAAAACAATGCAAATTGCAGATTGAATAGAGCATGGTCGTGCATCTATGGAGAATTAGAGAACGTTCTATATTGGCTATGCTGCATTCTGATTGGTTGAGAAATTCGAATAGAGCACGGTCATGTTTGAATTGAGAGTCTATTGTACGTTCAGGGCATAGTATATGGTTCCCTTGGGACCAAAGGGAAATAATTTCTTGTTGTATGTATAGAATGTTTTGTTTAATGTCCATGTACATTGAGTCACATCAGTTGATTCAATGAAGAATATTTCTGACTCTTTGCCTCGGCCTTTCCGAAAACATCCACAACGACAATACAGCACGTAATGCAAAAACCTATAAAAAATATTATTTAGTTATCTTATTTCAATAAAGCTCCTTTCCTTTCAGTTTTATCAAATTATCAACTAATAATGTCAGGAACCTCTTTCTGAAAATCGAAACCTAGGATTCTTAGAACTATTTTGACCAAGGCAAGCGATATCGGTGGCTCTTACAACAGCAACTTAATTTATATTAAACGACTTACACCACTCGCATAATGTATCGATGAGGTCACTAATGATGCCCATGTCAATCAAGAATAAATTTATTGAATCATAAAACTGCTTCCAAAAAGTGACAAACCATGAGTACTAGTGCAGTAGTTTTTCGACATGAATCGTTGATGATTTAGTATAGTCTAGCGTGACAGGTGATCATTAATTGTTAGAAGTCAATATTTTTGGATCATCGATCGGTTCCCTTAAAAGTTGTGAAAGAGTGCCAGCCACAAGGCAAAAAACAGATTATTATCTAGCGAACAAGGACGAATGTTTAATCCCCCCTCATCGTAAAGGAAACAGAGCTGGGGCTTCCCAAGAACGTACAACACCAAAAGAACGAGCTGAGAAAATGTGTGGTTATTTTTCCTGCATTAACAAACACTGATATTAGGTTCGTTTATATTCCAGGCAGAAAGGTTAGTAATAGACAGAGTATGATATAAAATTCAGACACTGGCTAGTAATTTATTGTTTCCGATTTATGGGCACCAGAGAGACATGTTTCTACAACCATTTGCAAGAGGTCGTCTTTGTGTGCCCTCTCATTTTCAAAGAACTTCATTTATGCTTAAATATTCTGTCATATGACTTGCGGCAAACCTACCATTTCCCATTGGATTACATGGTGATGACGATTTTCAAAAATTTATCATCAATTTTCGACCTATTGTAACTGAGGAAAAAAATTAGAAAATTTGGAGGTATTGGAAATAAAGTCAAATTACGTTTCCATCAATAGTATAAGTTATTTCATCGCCGGTTAAGTAAATACAAATTCAAACGTAAAGGGGCTTTAACACGTAGTTCAATGGGGGAGCAAAGGTTGCCAAACTTATGAAGGGGAGTTTATAATTTTTACCATTGTTAAATAAAAAAAAATCACTACCCTAAACATCGAATTACAGTCTTTCATTGACCATGCAAAGTTTACATCGTTGAGACATTATCAACATCAATATTTTAGATCATTACTTAAAGTCAGAGGGACTAGAGGGAACTCACTACTCAGGGTATCCAAGTATTTAGCTAAACGAGATAATAATGCCTCATCGGGGAATAAGCACAATAGACTGAATATTGCTTGAATTCTCGATTATATGCTACCGACGATGAAAACATCCACGGCAACATTTCAGTTTGGATAGGTACACGCCAGTAAACAATTCATTACCATTCAACCAAGGCTTTAATTACTTCTAGTATGGAATATATTTTACCTGTGGATCTATGATGAGAGAATGCTCGATATGAGTTTAATATGCATAACTAACAATTCCACCAATTCATAAATATAGATACGGTAATTTATCCTATGCCAAGTAGAGTTTTTGGGAGATAAGTATGTAAGATATATCCCGTATCCTGATTTTGAGGTTTCCATATCCTGAACCTCCATATCTCCCGCCATATCTCCCGCTCCAGGGCATATCTTCCCGCGCTTCGAAAAAAATTTTGAAAAAAAGAAAAAATGTGTAAAAAAATAAAAAATTGAAAGAAAAAAATAGAAAAAATAATAAAAAATGGAAAAATGTGAAAAATAGAAAAAATAAAAAAAATTGAAAGAAAATGAGAAAACTCTACTTGGTATAGGATAAAGCAGTTATGTACGGTCGGTTTGGATATTGGGTTCATCCCTCGTGAGATATGCACATCTACATTCCAAATATATCCCATATCCAAAACATCCCAGTACATATCCCTTATTTATATTGTACGTATGTATATATAATGTAATTTCTGAGGTAAAATAATTATCAACTCGCATATTATTACTTGGTTATGGCAGCTGCTAAATTATTTTTGTACTTTTTCTTTCAAACTAAACCGATACAAATTATAAATGAATTATGATCAATGAACATGTCAAAATAAAATAAAAACAGTAATTTTATGAAGACAAATGACTTCCCATTACGTCACAGCGGTTAGTCGTTTTCAGTAAAGCATGATTAGTTGGGCGTAGTTTTATTTTGCCCATTTTTCATTTTCATGCTGATTACTGTCATGATACACTAAAGAATATAAAATATATTATTTAAGCACTTCAGTCTGAGCAGGGGCGGATCTAGGAACCAACAAGGGGGGGGGGCCAAACTTCTGGTCTGAAAAAAAACTTCCGCGCATGCGCGGAAAATTTTTTTGTGCCCCTAAAACCAAAATGTGGGCCCAGATTTTGAGGCCCATTTTCTTCAAAATTTGGCCTAAAATTAAAAAGCAAGGCCTTAGAAGGCCCATTTATGACCAAAAAGGCCCATTTTTAGGGCCACAAGGCCTTTTTTGGCTCAAAAATCTTTTTGGGCCTAATTTTTTTTTCTGGGCCCACCCGGGGGGGGGGCGGGCCCCTGCCCCCCCCCCCCCCAGATCCGCCAGTGGGCTTGCATTATTCCTTGACATACGTTCTCGTCAAAATCACCAAAGTTGATTAATTCATTCCATGAAAACATTTTACATGTTATATATAATATTTTTTTGGGGGGGGACTGGACATTTTTGAACATTTACACCCGTGGATAATCACATATTTAAGAAATATAGACTGAAGAGCAGGGTAATATCGTCGAATACATCCCGCAGGGCTAGGCACAAACGTTTTCTGTACCCCTAACGACCGAACATGAAAACATGAAAACTCACCAAAATGTTTCGAATATTCATTATGGTATAAATTTGGCAACTCGGTTTGTGTGATATTAAATTGGGAGAGATTTCTTAATTAAATACTATTACCATCTTTGAAGACCTGACTGTAACTTTAGTACTTTTGAAGAAATCTGTCAAGTACAAGCAAAATATTTTTTAAGAACGCATGATTCATTAGAAATGATATTTTGAATTGTCAAATGAATTCAATCATGGGCTTTCTAGTTGAAAGCCCATGATTCAATTGACAATAAATTGTTTAATACATACATGCCACTGGCGGATTAGGGGGGGGGGCTTCAGGCCCCAAAAAGTCGGCCTTTTTGGTCATTACTGGGCCTTTTAAGGCCTTATTTTTTAATCTCAGGTCAAATTTTGGAGAAAATGGGCCTCAAAATTTCAAAATTTGGGCCCACTTTTGGATTTTAGGGGCCCAAAATTTTTTTTCTATGACCTGAAATTTGGGCCCCCCCCCCCCCCCTTGTTGGTTCCTGGATCCGCCCCTGCATGCACATACCTTCACATTCTTCTCCTCATTTAGATCCAGTACACTTAGAACAGTAAATCCTTTCTTTATATGTAGATCGGGCTCATCGGGCATCTCCAAGGTTGCCTGTGCCATATATCGGACGTAACCATGCTCCCCTTCGAAGCTAGACGCAAGGGACATCGCCAGAGGATACATAAACTCGTAATAAGATACGCCAGGTTTATGCATGAAGGATTCCAGTTCTGAAAATAAAAGTACGAAAATAAGTGTTTGATAAATATTTAGCTCTTCAGGGTAACCTTACTTGGGCATCAGAAGAAGTGAGTAGCTCCCATAATTATTTCGTATTCTTTCGTGTTCATGAACATCATTTATTTAAATCGCACGCCAATCAGTATATAAATTCCGATCAAATTGCAGGATATGATCATGTGAACAATCATGAGCACGTGCTCTCCCAGAGCCGCGCATGCGCAAAGTAAAAGTTGAAATCGTGGAGATTTAACATCAGTCTAACATCATCATTTCCGGTAATACTATTTAAGTTACTCGATCCAAACTTGTAGAGAATACTCATAAAACGATCGTTCTTCTAGATCAATTCCAATGGCTCATGACACCTGTTTATAAAATCGGTTATTTAACTTGCCAAAATCAATGCTCACCTTTGGGAAATCCCCCCTGCTTGGGCATCTAGCGCTGATATAGCAACAAATTTATAATATATGAGTTATATCTAGATCTTTGGCAAAGAATTTTGGGATAGACCATAGATACATCGTAAAGTAACACACTGTTAGAATTGCTTTCTTAGTTTTAGTATAAACTCAGGAACAGGTAATCAGAAAATTGATTGGTACATTATACTTATTCGAATATATTCATTACGAGACCCTGATGTGGAGGTAGATAAGGGGGCAGGGGCGTATAGCCAGCTTTCAGTTATGGAGGTGCGATTGCCCAAAAAATCGGTTTCCAGATCGTGGCTTAAGCAAGCCCAAAAAATTAAAGATTTGTTTTGAATATTTTACAAAAACTTCCTTCAAAATTGAGCTAGAAACTTAAAAATAAAAAAGCATTTTAAAACTCTCTCTTCTTCTATCTCATGGTTCTATTTTTATTGGTTATGGCGGGGGGATGATCGCACCCATCGCATCCCCCTCCCCCTGGTTACGCCTATGGGTTCAATGAATCATGACTTATTCAAGTCGTTTTAGGGAGAATGACACGTATTCCCAGACTAGACTAATGCACAAAATGATCCTGTGTCAAGGATTTGCTAAAAAAAGATAAGACACGAAAAATGATTCATTTCCTCTGAAAATGAAAAATGCGAAACTTACGACTGAATAAATATTTACATATCAAACAAGAATGATTAGCTCCGATGTTTCCCCAGCAGTATTAGTCAGATGTGTCTCTCATTTCAACGTTCTTCAAATCACATTGAGCTAAAAAAAAACAGTTCTAAAACAGCACTACACTTTGACGATAACATATACACGTGTGACATTTACAATATCAGTTAATAAACTAGTTCACAGCAATTTCTAATTTTAGTGCTCTTGAAATCACACGAGACTATTCAGCTGTATGTAAAAAAGCCTCTAAAACAACTCTATTAGTTTAGAGATATATAAAACGTTATATATGTCTCTGATTAGTTACATACATTTTGCAATCTGAAGATATGTGATCTCGCATGATTATATCATTAACCGACACGTTAGATACTCAGGGCCGATACATAGTTCCTCTTTTCAAAATGGTAGCGCAAAATGAAAAGGCCAACAGAAAGGTTGGCCATGGAGTTTTTGAATAAGGAACTGAAAAAGGCACTTCAAAACTTCAAAACAAATATTTAATTTGCAAGGCTGTTTCGTGATATACAGTCCCAGAGTGCACTACCCAAATGATCGGAATTACATTTACGAATCGAGCAATCACAATAAAATCAGAGGAAAGACAATCGAAAAGTCATTATTTACATCTTCTAGACCAGTATGATACCTCTACGTACGTGTTTTTGCATTATGCTTCATTGTGGCAACTACGACTGTAGTTCTACATTGGATATGAACGCCGGAATAAATAACGTCTCCATGTATACATTCACAAATAACTTCACACTAGGGAACCGTTCTCGAAGAATGATTACACATAATATTGACCTTTATTCTTGTGATGCACTGAAAAAGAGGTGACACGGAACAGTAATGTACAGTGATGGTTGATCTCTACCTGGGTTAACTGTTAGCCATCCTCCGATCACAGGCCTTCAAAATCCAGAACATATTCTTTCTTTTTACCCTACACTGGTGATCCACTCGATTACGCTGGTTACCAAAACGAACCGTTTTGGTAACAAAATGTCGGAACGTCGAAGGCACGATTTTTCTTTTTTCCTTATTTCACGCGTTGTAGGCAGAATCCCCACGACGTTTTTTTCTCAGAACGTGCATCAGTATCATATGTTTTAGGAAATGTACATGTTTGTGAAAAAAATAGCTCAGAAGACAACAGAATCGTCGATTTACTTCCTTACTTAAGTTACATAAACGGTTTTTCGAAAAACAGTTAAGATCTGCACTTTTAACCGAAACCGTTTTTGTAACTTAAGTGAGGAAGTAAATCGACGATTCTGTTGTCTTCTGAACTATTTGTTCCCAAATATGTACAATTTCTTAAACATATGATACTGATATACGTTTGTGTCAAAAAATGTCGTGGGAATTCTGCCTACAACGTGTAAAATAAGGAAACGAGAAAAATCGTATCTTCGATGTTCCGACATTTTGTTACCAAAACGGTTCGTTTTGGTAACCAGCGTAATCGAGTGGATCACCAGTGCCCTAGACACCTGCTTAGGAGGATGACTGTTAACAATAAGAGACAAAGCATGTGCGATCGAAGGGATGAGGCGTGCGTTTGGTTGATTTTTGAGCCAGTCAAAACTTTCCCTAGGGATTTGGCATACACACTAACCAATGAGAACGTGACACGGAAGTACGCAATTGGCAATTGCATCGATAGAACGAACAAGTAAAAGTTTATTAATTATTATAATGATTAATGAATCAACAGGGCGGTGCATTGAATATATCAAATAATACCATTGAAAAACATACCCCAGTGGTAATTTCATTGATGTTCTTTTATGGAATCGACGTGTTAATCAAATTTTAACCAATTCTACAGTCGACAAAGATCGAACTCAAAAGCTATAGAATCACAAGTATCAATGAATAGTTGAATTTGCAATCGAGATTTACATATTTATGATACTTTGCGGTATGTTGCATATTCCGCAAGTGAGTATGACATATTCCGCAGGCGATTATAGGGTATTCGCTGTAATCAATGTATCGCATATTCACTGCGGAATATGCCATATTCACCTGCAGAATATGCCATATACTGCAGGTGAGTATGGCATATTCACCCGTATCACAAATACCGCGCAACCATGAATATCTGCCATATTCTGCGTGACACTTAGTGGTGACTTAAAGTAACTCGTAGGAAAGAGGAATTATGAAGTCTGGTCGGTCATTAAAGGTAAGGAAGCTAGACCTGAAGCTCAAGCTATAATTCTGAAGACTGATTTAGATGTAGCCGAACCCACTCCCCAAACCCATATCATTTGCAAAATTCTTTGAACGCCCCTGCAAAGCTATATTAACTGGAAAGCGCCTATTCTGGCCAGTATACCTCGACCGCATAAGTTTTTACTATACACATGTTTTAGCTCCTATCTGAACATCAGTTATCAAACTATCTGAATAAAAAATGAAGGGGTTATAACTACTAAAAGAGTTTATGTATACACAATAATTTAAAATGCATATCACGGTAATTCTATTAGATAGCAGAATTATCGTCGACATGATTCGGTAAGACTGAGAGGGGGATTAACATCAGAGTTCAAAGATGACATACGCTTATAATGTAAACCTGTATTGAGATGACATTCACCTCTGATTGGTCCAAATCGATTAACAAAAATGGCGGATTCAAAATTTTCTAATAACGCTTCGAATAATATAATGTTGATTCCTGGCGTATAAGCCAATACCATAGCTTAATTTTTCACATCAAGATAAAGAAGTTTACATCGATTAAAACATCTCGACGACGCGCTATGTTCGAAAATTAACTGGTGAGAATTTGCGCAAACGAAGGTGGTACGCAAGAGACGTATTATGTCAGTCATCGCTAAAGCTCTGGGGCTCCACCCCCCCCCCCCCTTGGTAAGACTTATACACTGGTATAGATCAAAGGAATTAACCTCTCATGCAAAAGCGTTAACGGGGCTTTCTTTTGAAGAGGTCCTTTGTATAGCCTTAACTGCCCGTCTTATGAAGGGTATTCCAGGTATGTCCTCAATTGCCCCGTCCTAATGGGGTTCTTGTAATAAATATTCTGGTTTAGCCTCGATTGTCCGGTCTTAATAGTGTTCTTATACTAATATATTTGGTAATAATGGTAGATAATCAACTGGACATCAATCCTAACAACAGTAAACATAGGTGTTTAGCTATATATCACGTTGGATAACTCATAAAATGCAGTCTCAATGTGGCTTGAGGAAATAACTTCGAGCTTTAGTATTATTTCTAATTTAGAAGGGCGATAGGGTGAGTGTTGTTTGAGATTAAGATCTGTTTCTCATAAAGGCTACTGGATGATGGGGGAGGGAGTGGACCTAAACTTGTTTTTGAAGGTTACATAATTGTCTCAGTAGAGAGGTTAAGCTGACAATGTCTTGAGAAAATCCACTTCCGTATATGTACTTGCGATTAACTTCCACTATTTTAATCATGAACACTGAAGCTGAACGGGAATTTAAACGAAACAACCATGCGTGCCCAACACGTTATACGTTTTCGTTCTGATTTTATATGCAAGCTTAACCTCTGTATTATTACCAATTATACCCTTTTACTATTCATTCATTTAATATGAATATATAGGTTGCAGTTAGTATTCCTATCTAAATGAGCTGGTCATAAAATAGTAGGTTAATCCGTCAGCCGTCAGTAGGCAATTGAATTCGCGAATGCTAACTAACCTTTGACCGACCAATTTAAACAGCTACTGCTATTGATGAGCTTATAAACCTGATTACAGCCTGTCGCGTTCACTTCGATCAAGATATTTTATGGATTGTCGACTTAGTAATTTTGAAATTGGCCCTTGTTATTATCACCGCTTTGCAACACTTTTATTTCACAACTAAAAT